GCGACGTTTTATAAATTCTCTTGTTTATATCAAATACATTAAATGTACTCATTTTAAATTTCCTAGTTAAGAAAACTCCACAGAATTTAACCTCTCAAAATAATGAAAATGAAACAAAATGTATAATTTTGTTATAGATTCCCGGCAGCAAGGTGAGTTGAATGTGTACTCAGCAATAACAGTAAGTGGACTCGCACCGACTATTGCAGTCAAAATCACAATCAGTCCTGAAAGTGAAGCTAGTTTTGAAACTCCGACGGCATTTGGAACATTGTTTGTGGAAGTTCCTGAACCGGTCAACGGTAAACCACCTCTGCTTAATGTCTGCCAACCACGAAGACAGGTTCAACATAAATTTGTCGATCTCGGTAACTTCTCACATTCTACGGAAGAGCATGAGTATGTACATTTGATAGGGGAACACCTGGCCAATCCTTACCAATTGCATGAACAAAGGAAACACGTTGTCGAGAGTTCCCCCCCCCCTAAAGGTTCCACTGGTCTGTTTGTTTCCCTTAAATCACCACTTGTTTGTTTCCCTAATGGTTCCACTGGTCTCCGTCTATTAAGAAACCACTGGACTGTTTCCCTAAAGGTTACACTGGTCTGTTTCCCTTAAGGCACCACTCGTCTGTTTCCCTAAATACACCACATTGGTCTGTTTCCATAAAGACACCACTGGCTTGTTTCCCTAAAGACACCACTGGCCTGTTTACCTAAAGACACCACACTGGTCTGTTTCCCTAAAGACACTACTGGATTGTTTACCTAAATATACTACTGGACTGTTTACCTAAATACACTACTGGACTGTTTACCTAAATACACTACTGGACTGTTTACCTAAATACACTACTGGACTGTTTACCTAAATACACTACTGGACTGTTTACCTAAATACACTACTGGACTGTTTACCTAAATACACTACTGGACTGTTTACCTAAATACACTACTGGACTGTTTACCTAAATACTTCTGGACTGTTTACCTAACGACATCACTGGACTGTTTACCTTAATACACCACATTGGTCTGTTTCCATAAAGACACCACTGGACTGTTTACCTAAATACACTACTGGACTGTTTACCTAAAGATACTTCTGGACTGTTTACCTAACGACACCATTGGACTGTTTACCTTAATACACCACATTGGTCTGTTTCCATAAAGACACCACTGAACTGTTTACCTAAAGACACTACTGGACTGTTTACCTAAAAACACTACTGGACTGTTTACCTAAAGACACTACTGGACTGTTTACCTAAAGATACTACTGGACTGTTTACCTAAAGACACTACTGGACTGTTTACCTAAATACACTACTGGACTGTTTACCTAAAGATACTTCTGGACTGTTTACCTAACGACACCATTGGACTGTTTACCTTAATACACCACATTGGTCTGTTTCCATAAAGACACCACTGACCTGTTTACCTAAAGACATTACTGGACTGTTTACCTAAAGATACTACTGGACTGTTTACCTAAATACACTACTGGACTGTTTACCTAAATACACTACTGGACTGTTTACTTAAATACACTACTGGACTGTTTACCTAAAGATACTACTGGACTGTTTACCTTAAGACACTACTGGACTGTTTACCTAAATACACTACTGGACTGTTTACCTTAAGACACCACTGACCTGTTTACCTAAAGATACTACTGGACTGTTTACCTAAAGATACTACTGGACTGTTTACCTTAATACACCACATTGGTCTGTTTCCATAAAGACACCACTGACCTGTTTACCTAAAGACACTACTGGACTGTTTACCTAAAGATACTACTGGACTGTTTACCTAAAGATACTACTGGACTGTTTACCTAAAGACACCACTGGACTGTTAACCTAAAGATACTACTGGACTGTTTACCTAAAAATACTACTGGACAGTTTACCTAAAGATACTACTGGACTGTTTACCTAAAGATACTACTGGACTGTTTACCTAAAGACACTACTGGACTGTTAATCTAAAGACACCACTGGACTGTTTACCTAAAGATACTACTGGACTCTTTACCTAAAGACACTACTGGACTGTTTACCTAAAGACACTGCTGGACTGTTTACCTAAAGGCTCAACTGGACTGTTTACCTAAATACACTACTGAACTAAAACGTTTACACTTACATGTACCTTAGTAACTGTATAATGGGGTTGGAATCCGAACTACTTCTTCGGAGCGTAATACACCAGTGACAAGTTCTATAAGTCAGTAATGTGTCATCACTCCCATTCTAGTGTAGATGTGTATTAAGTAGACAAAATAAGGATAGGTTCAATTTAAGTTTACCGGAGAGGGATGAAAAGGACGGAGGTTTGAGAGAAACCCCAAAGTGATGAAGACTTGGCACGGACTATCTACATACGGGGCTACTAAATGGTCACCCTGAGGAGAAGATCCGTTGAAGCATATATCTTTATGTTTCCGTCGTAATAATGACACTTTGCTCTAAATTTGTTCATATAAGAGGTGCTATCACTTGTGGAATGTTCGATAGACCTTGGGTTGTGTCTTGTTCATAACGTAAGTCCAATCAGAATCGTGGACTAACCAAAATGCTAAATCACAACGTGAAACTGAGTACAAACATTTTTATGTGTACGACAGGAAGCAAGGTATTTCATTCATAAAAAAGACGTATGGCAAAATTCTGGCAGCAGAAATGACGAAACGTTTACAAAGGTATGCACATAAAAGTACTATGCTCCCTTTTTAGCTTTGATTGCTATTTTGGCTAAACTAACGGGATGTATAACCAGCCACTTACAACACGTTTACATGTGTATTTGGGTAGCTCTTTCTGTCTGCTAGTAGAACGTAAAATGAACTAATAAAAAGTCTCTTTATGACAAAACTACATTTATTTTTCAACCTTTCTTTTTTCACAATTTTGATGTATTTTGTGAAACTAAAACAGCAAATAAGATGATTAAGTCTTTCAGATTAATACAATGTCACAATGTCCTGCTAATGTAACCTGCAGGCGGACACCCATCCAACTACTGAGGTAGCAGTGTACAGTAGCGTACGGTGGCCATGGGTGATATTTTTGTACAATGAATAACCCCTGTAATATTTCATGTATCAAAAGTTAAAAGAAAATCAGCTCTAAAATTGGCATATAAATGATGAATTGGACTATGTGGGCTCTTCACATTTCAAACAAAAAATCGAATTTGGCTTGAGACTACATTTTGGGCCATTTACGAATCTGTGTCTGTAAAACGTGAGTATTTGTGACCGAGTAGGTGATGTTTAATTTACGATAGGTTTTAAGAACAAAACTACTACTTGCGTGGGTCAAATTTTGGGTTAGAAATCATGTTTTTTGCATTTTTTGGCGTTTTTTGATGTGGTAACCATGGTTTTCACAAGTCCCAAATCTAGGGAAATCAACTTTTGAAAAAATATTCATTCTTCTAAAAAAAACGTATTCAAAATGTAGTTTATAAATATATAGAATTACTTTTGAATTCTTTTAATATTTTATCCGTTTTCAGATCAAGGTATTTCTAGACCTATGGTTGTGACAAGTGTACAATTTAAAAGTTTTGATGAGTGGCTGCCAATGACGTTACATTACATTACTAACGGTATTGTCACCAACAATGTGATGGTCAGTATTATTTAATTTTTAAAAAGAACGTCTGCTCGGGCCAGGTGACGTCCTAAACCGGATATAGTATACACACAAAAGTGATCCGCGTAAGAAATAGTCCGTTAAAAACATATCAATATAAAGAAACGAAATAGTATTGTGCGGATAACAACACCATTTTAATATGGAAAAGCCATTGACGATACAATTGTTTTAAAAATATGTTTCCTACATAGTTTTAAGGGGCAGAGTATTCCTCCGCGAAAACCTTCTATATGTAAACATTTGTCACAGACCGAGGATTTGAGACCTATGGCCGTTGCGCATAATAGTCATTTGGAATATATGGTGTTTAGTTTACTTTTTTCAAATGGAGAAATATATACTGTAGTAGCATATACATGTAGATGATAAACAGTTTAATACACAATATTTTCAGGGTTTGTCGGGAGAACAATTTTCTCATCGCGAGCACGAGGATAACATCGAGAACCAACGGACGAAATCTCACTCCAAGTAATAATATGGAATAACCGAATAGTCGGACATATAGTAACTCCCATGTTAACCAGCGTTAAACCTATTAATTATCCATTGAAGTAACAGCTGGATGGCAAATAACTAATTAACTAAATAATATGCACGGTTCAAGCTGTTAATGCTACATGTATATTAATAGGTTGGAAGAGCAATACATTATGTAACAACGAGAACGCATATTTTAATCATATATTCCTGTAGGTGAAACCCTAGCAAAGGTGCAGACATCTACTGATGAGTTAAATTTGGCGTATTCTGACTGTTGTAGTAAAACATTTGAACTGGGGTTATTTCATTCCGTTTTTTGGATGTTGAGACTGAACAAAAAATGCTTTCTAACGTTACTTTAGGAAATTCTAAACTTTATTTGATTTTTTATCAATTTGACAGAATTGCCGGAATCTTGGTTAGAAGATTTCTCAACTAACCGGTTATTAGAATTAGACAAGGTTTATAGCCTTCATCAATACCATGTGATACTGACAAATCGATCTGCCTATAGGTATATGATTTGTTTTTATTTTTCAGCTACATGTAAATGCTTCCCGGAGAATCACCTAGAGGCCTCCGTTAATTGTGAAGCATAACAGATTTTCGATGAAGCTTTGCAAACATATATCGAGCAAAAGTGTTTTAGTGGATACCTTCCGTAAGTATCTGATCTGAAACCAATACATCAGCAATGTGTCACTTACTAAAAGATAAGTTTCGTACTAAGGGTATATGGTCTGATATGATAAATACCTGAAGTAAGGTCAAATCAAAATACTTGTATAAGAAAAATATATTCAGTTGTTCGCTCATTGATCCCGCAACAAACCTAGCAATTTAGTGGAATCGTTTATCAGCCACGGTATTGAATCGTTTATCAGCCACGGTATTGAATCGTTTATCAGCCATGGTATAGAATCGTTTATCAGCCACGGTGTTGAAACGTTTATCAGCCACGGTGTTGAATCGTTTATCGGCCACGGTGTTGAATCGTATATCAGCCACGGTATTAAATCGTTTATCAGCCACGGTGTTGAATTGTTTATCAGCCACGGTATTGAATCGTTTATAAGCCATGGTATTGAATCGTTTACCAGCCACGGTATTGAATCGTTTATCAGCAACGGTGTTGAATCGTTTATCAGCCACGGTTTTGAATCGTTTATCAGCCACGGTGTTGAAACGTTTATCAGCCACGGTGTTGAATCGTTTATCAGTCACGGTATTGAATCGTTTATCAGCCATGGTATTGAATCGTTTATCAGCCACGGGGTTGAATCGTTTATCAGCCACGGTATTGAATGGTTTATCACCCACGGTATTGAATCGTTTATCAGCCATGGTATAGAATCGTTTATCAGCCACGGTGTTGAAGCGTTTATCAGCCACGGTATTAAATCGTTTATCAGCCACGGTATTGAATGGTTTATCAGCCATGGTATTGAATCGTTTATCGGCCACGGTGTTGAATCGTATATCAGCCACGGTATTAAATCGTTTATCAGCCACGGTATTGAATGGTTTATCACCCACGGTATTGAATCGTTTATCAGCCACGATATTGAATCGTTTATCAGCCACGGTATTGAATGGTTTATCACCCACGGTATTGAATCGTTTATCAGCCCCGGTATTGAATCGTTTATCAGCCACGGGGTTGAATCGTTTATCAGCCACGGTATTGAATGGTTTATCAGCCATGGTATTGAATCGTTTATCGGCCACGGTGTTGAATCGTATATCAGCCACGGTATTAAATCGTTTATCAGCCAAGGTATTGAATGGTTTATCAGCCACGGTGTTGAATCGTTTATCGGCCAAGGTATTGAATCGTTTATCAGCCATGGTATAGAATCGTTTATCAGCCACGGTGTTGAATTGTTTATCAGCCACGGAATTGAATCGTTTATCAGCCACGATATTGAATCGTTTATCAGCCACGGTATTCAATCGTTTATCAGCCACGGTGTTGAATTGTTTATCAGCCACGGTATTGAATCGTTTATAAGCCATGGTATTGAATCGTTTACCAGCCACGGTATTGAATCGTTTATCAGCCCCGGTGTTGAATCGTTTATCAGCCACGGGGTTGAATCGTTTATCAGCCACGGTATTAAATCGTTTATCAGCCACGGTGTTGAATCGTTTATCAGCCACGGTGTTGAAGCGTTTATCAGCCACGGTATTGAAGCGTTTATCAGCCACGGTATTGAATCGTTTATCAGCCACGGTATTGAAGCGTTTATCAGCCACAGTATTGAATCGTTTATCAGCCACGGTATTGAATGGTTTATCAGCCACGGTATTGAATCGTTTATTAGCCCCGGTATTGAATCGTTTATCAGCAACGGTATTGAATATTGAATCGTTTGTCAGCCACGGTATTAAATCATTTATCAGCCACGGTATTGAATCGTTTTTCAGCCACGGTATTGAATCGTTTATCAGCTACAGGTATTGAATCGTTTATCAGCTACAGGTATTGAATCGTTTATCAGCTACAGGTATTGAATCGTTTATCAGCTACAGGTATTGAATCGTTTATCAGCTACAGGTATTGAATCGTTTATCAGCTACAGGAATTGAATCGTTTATCAGCCACGGTATTGAATCGTTTATCAGCCACTGTATTGAATATTGAATCGTTTATCAGCCACGGTATTAAATCATTTATCAGCCACGGTGTTGAATCGTTTAATTTTGTAACATCAGATCACAACAAACATTTTGCGTTTTAGTTAGAGAACATCACAGCAAAAAACATAAAGATGAAATACTGAGAAATCTTTCGACTATGGCAGTGGATATTTATACGTTTTTTCCTCATAACAGTTATGTATTTTGTCAAACAGTAGCTCTTCCTTTCGTATCGCATTGTCCGATCGATTAAATTTTAGATCTTTTTTGATATTGATTGGAATGTTTCAGAATCAAGCATATTCAAAAAAACTTGCATTTAGAGACCTGGGATAATGATATTTAACAAAATCTTATATTTCGACTTATTCATCACCTATATATATATACATATGATACATCATTGTCTTATTTAAACAGATGTTCACACTCAGGTATATCTGAACATATCGTTGTAGGACAACTTCTATTACTTTCATTTATACTATCTATCCTTCTGCCATCGGTTGTCGAAGTTTTATACCTGTCAATAAATAAATTGATTGAAGTGATGAAAATTGTTCAACACAATGTTCGTGAGAAACAAAAAAGCATTCATTTACACAAGATATATATAATAATGCAATACACTGTATGTGTGACATATGTCAAAAATGTTATTGAAAAGTGAGCACAAAGGTATTTTTATTTACAGCGTCTTCATTACAGGTCTCTAAAGCTACCAATATTATTATAGTTATTAATAGTCTGAATACTGTAGGTCTTTGACTTTAAGGACGTGGCATGATACCCTTCAACTACTGTTACGTATGAAATGTTTTTACAGATGTGTCAGATTATCTGATGGTAGTCAAAGACAATCTGGCATGGACCTACCTTGGATACTTAATAGAACTTATATATCATTGGACCTGCTTCAGTTTGCCTCTCTTGGATGACAAACCATCCCTTTTCAAGGCAATGGCAAATACCTCCCTCTTTTCGTCAGAGCCCGGACCATTTCAGATGAACTTCACCAGTTATGGCCTGTTATGTAATGGAACGGGTGTCCAATTGATTGAGGCAAGCGTTTATTTAGAATTATAAAAATATAAATCGTTTAATATAGTATCAACACACAAGCTAAAATAAATAAATAAATAATGATAATAAGTATAAAATCAAAATACATTCACCTTTGTTCACACAGTGCAGTTATTGTTTTTAGGAAAAAACAACGTCATCATACAATTTAAAATTAACCACAGCATTAACAAACGTAGCATAAAATAAACCACAACTTCAACACATAAAATCAAAATGCACTGTATTGACAACATAAGGTCAAGATATACCTTACTGTCACACAGGCCAACAATATGCAGGATAGTGACTATTGTCAGTTTTTATGCAAATGCACTCACGTATGCACACGCACACATACTAACTAACTCACGCACACAAACATCTGCACAATTCCTCAGACATGTACACTCACACGCACGCATGTGCTCACACATACGCACGGACACACGCATAATCGCACACGTTCGTACACGCTGGCGCTCACGCCCACCCCCACTTGAACACACACAGCATGTGTGTTTTATGTAATCAGCATAATAATAACATGCATAATAAATGGTGTCCTACAAATGAAAGGAATCGAAATAATATTATGGTATAAATCTATACAAAGTTATTAATCTTGTTTCTTAAATCCAGAAGGAATACATTTTCTCATATTATTTACTCTTTGCCCATACTAGACGTTGTTGACACTTAGTAAAGCAGCCGTATATTTTTCTTATTTTGTTTCCTATTCATTGTGTTATGGAGTTCCACATCTTATAGTTATCGCTTTTATTGATTTGAATTCAGATTGTTTCTAAGTGCAATACAGGTTATGATAAATACATTTGTACTTATCAGACATTTTAAACCTGAAAACTGGGAAAAATAAAATCTTCGTGTTGATTGCACGTGAATTATTGTTGCCATGGTATGTCGTGTACATTGCATAGACATTGTTTGTACATTGACTTATATTTTACAGGTTTTCTATTCAAATGATGTCAACAATCAGTTTAGTGGAATTAAGGTGCAATTTTGTAGCCTTGGTGTTGTTGTTGTTGTTGTTGTTGTTGATGAAGTCAATGGTTTACGTACGTGCTCCTACAAACGGCTCTGTACAAAGAACATCCCATGCTCCTTCGTACACTTCCTGTTTGTGAATTATGGGACGGCTTCATGGGGCTTGTGTGATATAAGCGCAATCAATACCTAGACCTACACAATGAAGACTGACATTTGTTTGTTTATTTTGACTTTTGATTTAGAGTGTGATAAACTAGCAAATTGTTACAGGTGATGTGTCATTTCTTCAACCAGGATGTTGATGCTGATTATGTGTCAAATTTGTTACCAACTAGGATGTTGTCCCTTACTATTCACAACATTTATTTATATATATGTATATACATTATACATGTTAGCATAAAAGACCTATCGATCATGGCTTAGCCTTGATATAGTTTAACTTTTTAATTTTCGTTAGATGAATGATAACGTTAACACACAATCTTCAAAAACAATGTGAATTGAAATGCAGTATTGAATATAAGCACACAAAATCACCTCTAACGGATACCTGTCCCATTCTGGACAAAACACTATAAAACTCCACTGTTGTTTTTTGTACGTACAGTGACCTCCCCTCCACTTTATCGTGGCTATAACTGTGGGAACACCGAACCAGAATTCCACTGTTGTTTTTCGTACGTACAGTGACCTCCCCTCACCTTTATCGTGGATATAACTGTGGGAACACTGAACCAGAGTTCCACTGTTGTTTTTCGTACGTACAGTGACCTCCCCTCCACTTTATCGTGAATATAACTGTGGGAACACTGAACCAGAGTTTCACTGTTGTTTTTCGTACGTACAGTGCCCACCCCTCCTCTTTATCGTGAATATAACTATGGGAACACTGAACCAGAGTTACACTGTTGTTTTTCGTACGTACAGTGACCTCCGCTCCACTTTATCGTGGATATAACTGTGGGAACACCGAAACAGATCTAGAGTTACACTGTTGTTTTTCGTACGTACAGTGACCTCCCCTCCACTATATTGTGGATATAACTGTGGGAACACTGAACCAGAGTTCCACTGTTGTTTTTCGTACGTACAGTGACCTCCCCTCCACTTTATCGTGAATATAACTGTGGGAACACTGAACCAGAGTTTCACTGTTGTTTTTCGTACGTACAGTGCCCACCCCTCCTCTTTATCGTGAATATAACTATGGGAACACTGAACCAGAGTTACACTGTTGTTTTTCGTACGTACAGTGACCTCCGCTCCACTTTATCGTGGATATAACTGTGGGAACACCGAAACAGATCTAGAGTTACACTGTTGTTTTTCGTACGTACAGTGACCTCCCCTCCACTATATTGTGGATATAACTGTGGGAACACTGAACCAGAGTTCCACTGTTGTTTTTCGTACGTACAGTGACCTCCCCTCCACTTTATCGTGAATATAACTGTGGGAACACTGAACCAGAGTTTCACTGTTGTTTTTCGTACGTACAGTGCCCACCCCTCCTCTTTATCGTGAATATAACTATGGGAACACTGAACCAGAGTTACACTGTTGTTTTTCGTACGTACAGTGACCTCCGCTCCACTTTATCGTGGATATAACTGTGGGAACACCGAAACAGATCTAGAGTTACACTGTTGTTTTTCGTACGTACAGTGACCTCCCCTCCACTATATTGTGGATATAACTGTGGGAACACTGAACCAGAGTTCCACTGTTGTTTTTCGTACGTACAGTGACCTCCCCTCCACTTTATCGTGAATATAACTGTGGGAACACTGAACCAGAGTTTCACTGTTGTTTTTCGTACGTACAGTGCCCACCCCTCCTCTTTATCGTGAATATAACTATGGGAACACTGAACCAGAGTTACACTGTTGTTTTTCGTACGTACAGTGACCTCCGCTCCACTTTATCGTGGATATAACTGTGGNCTTTATGTCACACCACAGGTACTTCTTTATGTCACACCACAGGTATTTCTCTATGTCACACCACATTTACTTCTTTGTGTCACACCACAGGTACTTCTTTATGTCACACCACAGGTACATTTTCATGTCACACCACAGGTACTTCTTAATATCACACTACAGGCACTTCTTTATGTCACACCACAGGTACTTCTTTATGTCACACCACAGGTACCCTTTATGTCACACCACAAGTGCCCTTTATGTCACACCACAGGTACTTCTTTATGTCACTTCACAGGTGCTTCTTTATTTCACACCACAGGTACCCTTTATGTCACACCACAAGTACCCTTTATGTCACCCCACAGGTACTTCTTTATGTCACACCACAGATACTTCTTTATGTCACACCACAGGTACTTCTTTATCTCACCCCACAGGTACTTCTCTATGTCACACCACAGGTAATTCTTTATGTCACACCACAGGTACTCTTCTTTGTGTCACACCACAGGTACTTCTTTATGTCACACCACATGTACTTCTTTATGTTACACCACAGGTACTTCTTAATGCCACACCACAGGTACTTCTTAATGTCACACTACAGGTACTTCTTAATGTCACACCACAGGTACGTCTTTATTTCACACCACAGGTACTTCTTTATGTCACATCACAGGTGCTTCTTTATGTCACACCACAGGTACTTCTTTATCTCACCCCACAGGTACTTCTCTATGTCACACCACAGGTACTTCTCTATGTCACACTACAGGTACCCTTTATGTCACACCACAGGTACTTCTTTATGTTACACCACAGGTACTTCTCTATGTCACCCCACAGGTACCCTTTATGTCACACCACAGGTACTTATTTATGTCACACCACAGGTACTTCTCTATGTCACACTACAGGTACCCTTTATGTCACACCACAGGTACTTCTTTATGTTACACCACAGGTACTTCTCTATGTCACACCACAGGTACTTCTCTATGTCACACCACAGGTACCCTTTATGTCACACCACAAGTGCCCTTTATGTCACACCACAGGTACTTCTTTATCTCACCCCACAGGTACTTCTCTATGTCACACCACAGGTACTTCTCTATGTCACACCACAGGTACTTCTCTATGTCACACCACAGGTAATTCTTTATGTCACACCACAGGTACTTCTTTATGTTACACCACAGGTACTTCTCTATGTCACCCCACAGGTACCCTTTATGTCACACCACAGGTACCCTTTATGTCACACCACAAGTGCCCTTTATGTCACACCACAGGTACTTCTTTATGTTACACCACAGGTACCCTTTATGTCACCCCACAGGTACTTCTTTATGTCACACCACAGGTATTTCTTTATGTCACACCACAGGTACTTCTTTATGTTACACCACAGGTACCCTTTATGTCACACCACAGGTACTTATTTATGTCACACCACAGGTACTTCTCTATGTCACACTACAGGTCCCCTTTATGTCACACCACAGGTACTTCTTTATGTTACACCACAGGTACCCTTTATGTCACCCCACAGGTACTTCTTTATGTCACACCACAGATACTTCTTTATGTCACACCACAGGTACTTCTTTTTGTTACACCACAGGTACCCTTTATGTCACAACACAGGTACTTCTTTATGTCACACCACAGATACTTTTTTATGTCACACCACAGGTACTTCTTTATGTCACTTCACAGGTGCTTCTTTATTTCACACCACAGGTACCCTTTATGTCACACCACAAGTGCCCTTTATGTCACACCACAGGTACTTCTTTATCTCACCCCACAGGTACTTCTCTATGTCACACCACAGGTACTTCTCTATGTCACACCACAAGTACCCTTTATGTCACACCACAGGTACTGCTTTATGTCACACCACAGGTACCCTTTATGTCACCCCACAAGTACCCTTTATGTCACACCACAGGTACTTCTTTATGTTACACCACAGGTACCCTTTATGTCACACCACAGGTACTTATTTATGTCACACCACAGGTACTTCTCTATGTCACCCCACAGGTCCCCTTTATGTCACACCACAGGTACTTCTTTATGTCACATCACAGGTACTTCTTTATGTCACACCACAGGTATTTCTCTATGTCACACCACAGGTACTTCTTTATGTCACATCACAGGTGCTTCTTTATGTCACACCACAGGTACTTCTTTATCTCACCCCACAGGTACTTCTCTATGTCACACCACAGGTACCCTTTATGTCACACCATAAGTACCCTTTATGTCACACCACAGGTACTTCTTTATGTTACACCACAGGTACTTCTTAATGCCACACCACAGGTACTTCTTAATGTCACACTACAGGTACTTCTTAATGTCACACCACAGGTACGTCTTTATTTCACACCACAGGTACTTCTTTATGTCACATCACAGGTGCTTCTTTATGTCACACCACAGGTACCCTTTATGTCAAACCACAGGTACTTCTTTATGTTATACCACAGGTACTTCTTTATGTCACACCACAGGTACTTCTTAATGTCACACCACAGGTACTTCTTTATGTCACACCACAGATACTTCTTTATGTCACACCACAGGTACCCTTTATGTCACACCACAAGTACCCTTTATGTCACACCACAGGTACTTCTTTATGTCACACCACAGGTACCCTTTATGTCACACCACAGGTACTTCTTTATGTCACATCACAGGTACTTCTTTATGTCACACCACATGTACTTCTTTATGTCACACCACAGGTACCTCTTTATGTCACACCACAGGTATTGCTTTATGTCACACCACAGATACTCCTTTATGTCACACCACAGGTACTTCTTTGTGTCACACCACATGTACTTCTTTATGTCACACCACAGGTACTTCTTTTTGTTACACCACAGGTACCCTTTATGTCACACCACAGGTTCTTCTTTATGTTACACCACAGGTACTTCTTTATGTTACACCACAGGGACTTCTTTATGTCAGACCACAGGTACTTCTTTATGTCACACCACAAATACTTCTTAATGTCACACCACAGGAACTTCTTTATGTCACACCACAGGTACTTCTTTTTGTTACACCACAGGTACCCTTTATGTCACAACACAGGTACTTCTTTATGTCACACCACAGGTACGTTTTTATGTCACACCACAGGTACTTCTTTGTGTCACACCACATGTACTTCTTTATGTCACACCACAGGTACCTCTTTATGTCACACCACAGGTATTGCTTTATGTCACACCACAGATACTCCTTTATGTCCCACCACAGGTACTTCTTTGTGTCACACCACATGTACTTCTTTATGTCACACCACAGGTACCTCTTTATGTCACACCACAGGTATTGCTTTATGTCACACCACAGATACTCCTTTATGTCCCACCACAGGTACTTCTTTGTGTCACACCACATGTACTTCTTTATGTCACACCACAGGTACCTCTTTATGTCACACCACAGGTATTTCTTTATGTCACACCACAGATACTCCTTTATGTCACACCACAGGTACTTCTTTGTGTCACACCACAGGTACTTCTTTATGTCACACCACAGGTACTTCTTCATGTCACACCACAGGTTCTTCTTTATGTCACACCACAGGTACTTCTCTATGTCACACTACAGGTACTTATCTATGTCACACTACATGTACTTTATGGATATTAAATCATATGCGGAATAAGATTAATCAGTTTGGTACATTTATATGAATAATAAAGTCTAAAAATATTTGAATACAAACTGGAATTGAAAATTTATTTTGCGCGCTTTTCGAAAACGTCTGCTTTTATTGTTAAGCATCGGGACATTTCGCCCAACTGCACTTTAATACTGCAGGAAGTCAGGGGCGGGTAATTTATTGATCTATTTTAAGTTTTCAATTCCTGTTTGTGATCAAAGCAAACATATCCTTTATTAAATCATATGGATTGGAAGTTAAATAAATAACATTAACCTTCACTGTAGGGATAAATATTTGCACGGCTTGAACTACACTTTAATATTGGATTGAATTTCGATAACACAAGTCATCCTATATATCAAACCCATGGTTAACGCTACCGAACAAAAGACATCTTACATCGATAACTAGTCACGCCATAGTTCACTTATTCAAGTGATAAATAAATAAAATAAAATAAATATATAATTGCAAGAATTTTTTTGAAAAAAAAATGTAATAAAAAGTATGAAATGAAATAAAATAGAATACAATGCATTTGTAAATAAATATCCCCTAGATCACAAATGAGTCACAGAAGGACAAAAACAGTGGTATAATTTAGTATAATTAATTTTTGGCAAGCTGTATATCCTTCCACATTTTAAAGGTACACAAGTACACAGGTATATATACATAGCTCAAGAATTAAAGATTGTAAATAAATATCTTTACGATGCCGGATCGATGAATCCCGGAACAATCTATAACGCAGTTAAAATCTACTGGTTGTTTTTAAAATATCTATTTGGTTTATTTATAATATGGATTGTCCTTTGTTGAATGCATGCTATATTTTCTTGACGCTCTTGGTGCTAATATTACTCCGGTACAAAGTTAGGTATTGCATAATAATACAATAGAACAATGATGTTATTCTGTCATTTCATATAATATTTTCTGAAAGAAAATTGTCCAGACAGAGTGAAAATACCACAGTAAAATGTCCAGGATATCATGTTATTTCTCCGAATACCACATTTAACATCAAGTATACCACTTTGTCTCTGCAAGTACCACAGTAAAATTCTAGGATACCATACTCTCATATACAGGGTGATCCGTTGTTGCTAGGGAAAATATATCTCTTTCTCCCACACCTGACAGATTTATCTCCCGTTTTGCCGGTGCTAGATTTATCTGTCTCCGCCCTAGGGCTGAGACGGGGGGATTCCCCTATTCATAACAATGGTGTGACGTCACTTCAACAATACAATGACGTCACGTCAACAATCCATCAACGACACGTCAACCCTGAATTTAGCATGTAACGTTGTCATTACATTGTGTATATGATACACATTGGAAGAACAGGGTAAGAGAAAAAGAATCATTCACCCCCTTGTGGGTAAGATAGAGGAATCTAAACCCTCGGGAAAAGATTCTTCAGTTGCCAAACACTCGGCAAAGCCTCGTGTTTGGCAACTTAAGAATCTTCCCCCTCGGGTTGAGATTCCCCTATCTCACCCCCAAGGGGGTGAATGATTCTATATATCTTACATGGGGTAGGGAAAGACAGCTAACACGCGCTATGACGTCATAATAATGGATTGTCGACGTGACGTCATTTTATTGTTTCCGTGATGTCATACAATTGTTGTGAATGGATTGGGGAATCATCCGTCTCAACCCTAGGGCTTTGAGGTTTGCCGGAAGAATAAGATCGATGTTTATTTCGACTGGAATTTGTTTATTTGTATGTATGTGAGAAAAATAATCAAACATGGGTCTATTCCATAGACAGGGATATCTCAACCCTCGTGTAAGAGTTTGACTGGCCAGCCAAACTCTTACACTCGGGTTGAGATATCCCTGTCCACGGAACAGACCTATGTAAGATTCTTTTATTCTCTCATTTCCCTGTGTGTAAGATAGAGCTGTCCAGGGTGAGAAAGGGATGTAGGAAATTTCCATCTTACACCCCATTTTTCACGTGACGTGACGTCACAATGCCTCAACAATAACGTAACGTCACGAATTTGGAACTCTCCGATGCTACAATGAGGAAAAGGCGACGTGATGAAATTATAACCTTTTACGATATATTTACCGTATACGTCAGAAATATGTGATTGAATTTTCTGCGCAAATGTTGTTTGCAAATATGGGATTTGCTAAATTCCTTTTCGTCTAAAAAGCTCAGGGGAAAAACTAAAATTTTCAAAATGGAAATGGATTTCCCTATCCTACACCCCTGTACATGAAAGATTCTTATATTATTCCCCTTATAGCAGAGTTAAATAATCTAGGATACCATATTATTCTCCCGAGTACCACAGATAGATTACTCCGTTACCTACTAGGCTTGTCATTATATAGTTACACGCTACTGTTCATTTAACTCGTTCTTCCCTGAAATTTCATAATGAACTATTCCAACCTTTGAATTGGAAGAGTCCAATTGTGTCTTCAGGATGAATAAGTTAATCACTTACAAACAGTCAATAAATGTAAAGCATCAATTCAAATGTGAACAGTCTTTATGTATTGACACTTGTATTGAAATAACGTCTCACCACTGCATAGTTATCAGTCATCAACAAAGATCGTTTAGCACTAAAACAAATGTAAAAGAGGTTCAATAAAATCACTTGTATAACTTGGGATATAAGATGGAGGGAAAGTTTACATTTTCAGCCTGAGCAAACGAGCGATATGGCAACCCCACCTACAAGACTTACTCGAATGTCTGCCAGCACTAAGGTGAGATCGAGTGACAGAATAAATAAAACGGACGTTGTACAAACAGAAAATGCCAAGGGTATGTCGTGCCCGACTGTCAACCACCGATGACAAGGAGATGGGGAGGGGACTTGTTTGAAATATGTGCAGACAAAACTACAAATTTATGTTATTTAAGAGAAATTGGCGACGAATTTCATTATCTGTTTACATGTACACATCAACCAATTGTCAATAGTAGGCGAAAACATATGTCCAGATATTATCATGAAAGACCAAACACATTTGAATATCATACATTATTCAATTATGTAACACAACATAAATGAATTACCGATATTAATGACATAATTAATTTACAATACTAATGTTCCACCATGTATTTGTATATATGTTTTCTCTACACTGTATTGTTTATGAGAATAAAACAATTGTCATTGTCATTGTCATGTCACCAACCCAGTTCCAGGATTAAATAATTGATCATGCGATACGTTGTTGTTTCTGTGGTAAGATTGCCGACCTGATTTCGTTATTAACCGTCATTTGAGTCTCGGTTGATTAACCCTATAGTAAACAGATAGACCTGAAGGTAAACAAGCGTGACGCGTGTTCAAGCTAAAAATGTCTGTCACCAGCGACGGGGAGGGTCGCACCGACTCCCAAGGGGAACCGAGGACCAAAGAAGATGCCGCCTGTGGGTGGGGATTCATTACCCCGGCCCTCTGTCAGCGATTCCGTACCTCGCGATGGCTGTTGTTTGTGTTGTGCTGTGCATGCTTCGTCCAGGTAAGTCGTATACTGTGTCAAATGGTGTCTTAGTGTAAGTGTATCACAGCCATCGTGACGTGAGAATTAAACTACAGGTAGAGTCGTACATAAGAAGCTGTCTTGCGTAAAGACGAATCTAAAAAGTCGATTTAAACAACACTTTTCATTATATCACCTGGGGTCAGCTGGCATAGATTTGTCAGCTTGACGAGTTGTAAGCATTTGTACTAAACAAGGTTTGAGAAATAAACAAATGGATTCTTACTAACTAGAAGACCCCTCAATAAATGTTATGAGTTATATTATTATACATTATTACAAACAAAAAAATAAAAATAAGTATACCCTGCCAACAGAGATTAAATTTAAAGTTGGTTTAAATGAATGAAGTGACCTAGTATATGAAATTAGTAAACAGTTTAATAATAAATCTTGTACCAATAAAAAACTGTCTTTCTTAAGATTGATTCCTTCACCTCAGTCCGTATATTTATTTTAGCCAACTACAATAACCCTTCAAAGTTGTCTCCATTGTAATACGAGGGTATAGAGGCTGTCCACAATGTCGTATTGTGGTATGGATTTGTTTTCATTGTAATATGGGGGTGTTGAGGATGTCATTATTGGTCTCAATTGTGACATGAGAGGAAATTATGCCTCAATTGAAATATACAGATATAGTGTAGTTTTCCATTGTAATATGAGGGTTAAGATGCTGTTTTCATTGTAATATTAATGTACAGAGGCTAATAGCGGGTATGCACGCAATCGACAGTGACCGGATACGACGGAGCTCACCCCAGGCTAATGACCTTTATTTTATTACTACATAAGAAGTCATGGTACTAGATAGGGTCGACAAACTCGTTATTTAAAAGGTTATACATTTACCTGAGGTTTCTTACAGATCTATCGTGTCTGATAACATTCCAGTCGAGTAGGTAACTGTGTCATAGGTTTTCTAACCGAATTATTATAACACGCTCAAACACACAATAAGTAAACGAGACGGAGTAAACAACTATACAAAAAACCCTACACTACTATGTGCATGCATGTGTTGTACACGAGGCCGTGCGGTCCTCTATATCCCCGTGCCTCCGAGATCAGGCACCTGGGGCCTGTTCGTTTATGTGGAACAACCGGTACGTCCGTTTTTAAATGTAACAACCTGGCGGACCTGAAAAGGTTGTCAAGGCTCGCCTGAAAGCAGCATCAGATTACTGGGTCCGACCTTATTTAATAAACGAACAACTCTGGTACAACCGGTTCAACCGTTTGGATCGCGATAAACGAAATGGCCCCAGTTGAGTTCTTTATAAACCTGAGCCTTACGGCTCGTCGGTTTAAAATGAATATATATATACAAGAAAAAAACAATACAATTATGATCTGCCATACTTTCACACGCGCATATACGCATACACTTCAGTGGTGTAGCATATCATTGTTCGGAGTGTATGCTTACAGAGGTTCGAGCGTAGCGCGGAGGAGGGGGAGGGGGAGTTCCCCCTCCCACAGCTGAAAAATATTCTTCTAGGCCCTAGAAGCAATCTCCCGTGTTCTGGAAACTCCTTTTTGTCTGATTATTAACAAGTAAAACCCAACTTTTTATGGATAACATTACATTTTTAAATCTTCGAGATTTGTCAAAGATTAATTAGGTTGCCTTACAAGCTCAGCTGTAGGGAATTTCCCTTTAGCTCAGCGATAGCACATCGGGCTGGAGAACCAAGGGTCGCGGGTTCGAGCCCCAGCGACGGCACTATCTTTATCACTATTCCTCGTCCTATTACAATAACATCACTTTCGAGAAGATTTTGTTTATTTCCTTTAATTTTAATTAAATCTGCATAACATTCACATTTTAATATCAAATGAAATTCATTTTCGTTGTCCCCACTGTTGCAGTATGCACATGCGCTTTCAATCTCAATTGTTATACCTTCCCATTTCAATTAGATTTTTTCGCCAATAAACTTGTACAGTGAACACTTGGAAGATGAATCTGTTGTTTTGTTTACATTCTTGCATAAGTATACCGCACATTTTACTTTTGATAATATTCATAAAAAAATCGGATATATAGGTATTTCCATATTGCCATATGTACTCTACTCCCATTTTAAAAAGGTTCATTCCTTACTGCGTTCATTCATTCTCTTCCATTTACTTCCATTTTCTAACGTGTCCTGATCACATTTATGTAAAACACAACGATCTTAGACTTAAGGTTTTGCTTAGCCAATCACGTATGACGTAATCTTTATGACGTTATTTGTGTTCGGCAAAGTCAAAACTGAAAACAAATTTAAACTTGAGATAGTTTCGTGACCCTTTGCCCAGAGTGGTAAACGTTGTCAATTTTTTCTTTCTTTCTAAAAAACCCTTTTCTTATCGATATATCAACCTGAACTTCTTTTTGACGTAACCACATGATTCCTGTAACACCTCAACAATACCTTCCTGTATTTTCTCCTTACTTCGTCTACTCTGTCAAATCTCCGCCTGTTTAAGATAATCTTTTTTCGTCGCGGTACACTTATTTATTCATACAGAGAAATATTTTACTACGATAGATATTTCTTGAAGATTTTATGAGAGAATCCCATGGATAGACAATCTGCAGATTTTTGAATTTGTTTTTGTTTGTTTGTCTGTTTTTTCCAAATTGTATAAAAGACATATCTTCAAATTGACATAGGGTTTCAGTCGGACCTTTTATAGCACAGCCAGGTTACACATGCCGTACTCATAAAGAAATTATCTGTACCAAACACATACATATTGACACCCTTTGGAGTGAACAAATATTAGCTTAAACCATACATACATATATATCATTATATAGCAACATCGATTAAGATATAAAAATGGATACACTTGGAGTTAGTGCTGGACAAACTAGTGAACGTACGACCTCGTAATGTAGTTTAAGAGCATCCCACTCATATTCATGTTACCTGCAAATTTGAGTAAAATTTTCTGGGATGATGTGACTTGTTTCAAAATATGTCAGGTATCACGAATATTTATCTAAATCATACACAACATAAATTCACAGGCTACTTAAAAAAAAGAAAGAAAATTGATGACAAATGCGATAAATGACAATTATCCGTTTAAGCGTCGATACAGTAGCTACACGATGGTAATGGTGGTTTGGTGGCGTAGTAGATAGTTCTCCTATAACTCCGGTTTCCTTCCATATTGAGACCCCCTGCACAATTTCATCTGTGCTACGAATGTAACAAAAGCGATTAACACAAGTTAGAAAACTGTTTTCCTCATTGAAGTAAAATAAAGTCTATATTCAAAAGACGGCAATGAGCACTGAAAGTAACGAATTGAAATAATGATAGGCAAACATGGTTTATGTAGCGAACTATCTCAACAGAAAAGAAAGTGTTTATTTTTCATTTGTTTTTCCACAGAATATGGCCATTAGTGGATTTGTGAACGTGATCATATCCTCCATTGAGCGACGCTATGATCTGACGAGTGCTGAGTCCGGACTTGTCGCCAGTGCCTATGATATCTCCTCCGCCATTCTTATACTTCCGGTCAGCTACTTCGGGGGTCTTGGTTCGAAACCCCGTTATATCAGTGTTGGGTTTCTACTTTTTGGGCTTTCCTGCATCCTGTTTACTTTCCCTCACTACCTGTCTGGTTTGTACGATTATGGAACTGACAATGGCGGACTGTGTTTACCCGGAAGTTCCGCTCCCTCATCTTGTGACGGCCAAATCATTTCACTGTCAAATTATAAGGTAATGTAAGCTGGTGGCTACTGTAGATTGATAAGTCGAAGTCGAATCCTCCATTGTTGTAACTAATATGAAAGCTTCTTATTGAAATAAACCAAACCTGCTTTCATTATAATACATGTTTTCAACACGAAGCAATGAAGCACAAATTTAAATACATAAGTGTTTACTTATAAGTAAATTGATGAAGTGAGCTAAACCATATATATATTGACAGCACAATGATGCCATTTTGTTCATTTTAAAATTATCAGAGGTACTACTACATATATAAAGGCCAAACAAAGGAGGTATGTATTTTTGATCCTGACTGTTTTTAATATTTGCAATTTGTTTTAGCAATAGATATTCTAACATGTATTTCATACAGTTGCATTTGAAGCAACAAAGCTATGCTCACGTTTACACGTGATAATTTGGCACAGTCAACCTTTTGCCAAATTCCTTTAATCAAAGCAATAGTGATCAACGAATCGTGAAACAAAATGTTCCAGAATCATAACATCCATGTTCATAACTTTAATTAATAACTTAAACTCAAGGGTATCGCGAGGTTTTCATGTTAAATAGTGCGGTGGAAATGTTTACATATACTTTCTAACGTGTGCTTTCTGCATCTGTATTTTAGATATGTAAACAACAGCATCCTTCTCCGTATTTCTGGCGATCAAGATGTGATCAGATTTCTCACTTTACCATGTCGTTAAAAAAAATCGGTCTTGAAGAATGTTGAAGACGGTATTTAGTTTAAACTTTATTTTATTTTTACAACAACATTTCATGATACACAAAATATTCCATAAGGATTCAGAAAAAAGTTAATAACTTATGTAAATCCGTCTCCTTTTAAGACGGTATTTGCTGTATTGTCAATATATTTTTCTGTATTTTATAGGACCAAGATATTTGCCAAAATGATAGAATCGTTAATATCTTACCAACTCAATGTAACAAAAATAGACCTAGTTACGGGGTTTCAGGTGATTGGTGAAATTAGTTCTGTTTATTTATTTCAACATTTGAATTCTGCTTAAATAAGTTTGCAATATTTAAAATCCAAAAGTAATGGATTTTATAAATATCATTCGAACAGATTGTAGTTACCTTAATGTTCAATGATTAATCATGAGTCTAGTAAGACAACTATGAAGTTGCCGAACTACGGCTTAGGTAATGACTTTGACAATGTAATGATCCTCCGCAATTGTCAAAAATAGAAGAACCCTTCAACGTTGTTATCAAGATTATGTTTACTTCAGTAACTGGCCTTGCAGATTTTATCTGAAGCACTCACTCTGTTATGACTAGACACCTCACTTAGAGATAATATAACAGACTTTGTTAATCTCTAGTTTATTTACATCAACATGCATGTTGACCCCGACCTCTGGCAGAGTGCATTTGATGGAAATATTTGTTGATCTAAACCTGTGTTGAAACGATATGATTATTTGTTTCCTTTGACGTCTATTGGAAACGTGTATGACGACACTGGCCTCTGCTACAATACGCGAGTATCGACCTTGACCTCCATTAAAGTATACGTACATTGGCCTTCACCTCTATTATAGCACGTGCATGTTGACATTGACATATATATGTAGACACGTGGGTATGTTGACTTTGACCTCTATTGCAGTACAGGTATTAAAACTTGACGTCTGCTAAATACATCTCTGTTGACCTTAACCGTATTAAAACCTTGTTATTCCAGTTCAGACATGTTAACCTTGAATTCTGTTGAATTAAATATCCTCTACCTATTGCAGTACCTATGTGTTGACCTTCACCGTTTGTTACAGTACATGTTCTATGTGACTATGATCCTGATGGGGGCCGGATGCACCCCCCTGTACACTCTGGTGCCAGCCTTCCTGGAAGAGAGTGTCTCAGTGCGATCCGCCTCCTTGTACTTAGGTAAATATTTTAGTAATGAAGATTGCACTAGGAAATTATTTAACAACACCAAAACCATTTGGAGCTATACTAGCATAAGCGTGTGAATATATATACTATTTCGTCAATTTTAAGACTTAAGACTTAAGGTTGATAAATAAAAACGAGAAAATGTAATATCTGATCAATTTGTTTAGCACAACTCATAGAGGTGTAGCAAACATTTTAAAAAAGCAATTAATGTCTAGGCAAAGCTGTTTACAAGTTATTCAAGACATCGCGAAGGACATTTTGTTAATTATCATACCCTTGCCACAAGTAAAGTACAATGTTCTTGTCGCTTCTAACCAAGTCAATTTATATGTCCAGTAGTTGCACGTAACAGGCTTTAGAAAAGCATGTCACCCTCACTCCAAGTCTGTATACAGGTGTATGTGGAATAAGTACCACGTGCAATCTGGGTGGTAGGTGGCGCAGTGGATAATGCACTCGCCTTGGACGTGAAAAGATACTCCGGTTCTTCCCACATCAAGTCCCCAGCGCGCTAACACCCGGGCTAACAAAAGTTATTTATATAAGTTGTAATAACTTGTATCATAATTGTTGTAAAGTATTTAAAGTTTATATTCATCTGGCATTGCTTTTGTACATTGTAGGTATTTACTACGGTTGCAGTATCTTGGGCCCAGCTCTGGGGTTCGTCGTGGGGGGCCTGTTGCTGAATATATACGTTGATTTCAACGTTGTGGATATGGACAGGTGAACACTTTATTTTATTTTGCATTGATAAGGACCACGGGTTATTTTATTTTGCATTGATAAGGACCACGGGTTATTTTATTTGGATTCAATATTATAGAAACGCAGCTAATAATTTCAAATTGTTTACAGCTAAAGTTTCTATGCAGTGGCTTATTGATTCCAAAACGAACTCCCATTTCATGATGATTAATACTTAGACTAGATTGATTCATCTGTCATGGTTCATTGAAGCATGGAAATGGGGGTTCGATTATGACGTCAATAATTTATTCAGAAAACGTCACTCACCGTATCAGTCTTACAAAATGTAGAACAGTTGATTAAAATACACGTTGGTCATCGACATAGGGTTATAATGTATAAATCCCGTGTATTTGTATAAATAACGGTATTCTTACATAAAATAGTAGCGTAAAGTTAGTTTATGCTTTGTTATATGTAAGAAAAAAATTCAGATAATGTTTTTTCGTGAAAATCTAAGACATAAAATTAATAAAATTTACACAAACGTTTAGGAAGAAAACAGTTTTTGCTAATAATCGGTAATTAATGTAAAACAAGGGATTTGTAAAATCGTTGGATATATAAAACCGGTATGACCTGTTTTATTAGCAGTCACATGGGGGAAATAATTAAGGTAGCCTACATCTTAATATGTTTAGTGTTTTGAAAACCTAATTGACTATGCTTTATTTTCAATAAATGAAAATAAAGGAAAACTGACAATGCCTTTTTCGGCGCCCTTTTGAATTCTACGTTAGGGAGTCACATTTCGAAATTGTTCAATGTGCATACACATGCTTCTCCCTAGCTCAGATGCAAGTGACCTTTCATGACCCCTATTCCTATTGAGAACATATCGTCCGTTTTGTTACTTTGTACCCTATTAAACGAACAACATACACAGACAATAATGCACTATATTAAGGTACCATTGAACTCCCAATGTATTTATGTGTCTACATATATATGTCAATGTCAACATGCACGTGTTATAATAGAGGTGAAGGCCAATATACGTATACTTTAATGGAGGTCAAGGTCGATACTCGCGTATTTATGTTGTCTTTGTTGCGAAACTATCACTGATCAATAACACGTATTTCATCAGTCACTACATTGTACAGCTATTCAAATGTATGGCAATATTTGCATGGCGAATCTAAAAGTCGTAGATGCTCAAGAAAATATTTAAATATTGTCCAAAATCTCAGTTATCAACTTCCGGTATCAAAACGACTCCGGTAGTTCAAATACTGTAATATTACTTTTAATGACATTTGAAGATATGTAAATACATAATTATTTCAAAGGAGGGAAGTACAGATTCCGTGTCCAGCAGAAGTACTAAATTGTTACCGTGAATTTCTGATTCTTTTTTTTATTTCATTCAGATGTTTTCTGATTAATTTTGGAACATAAATTTAATATAGTGATCGTGTTCTATACACTAAGAATCGTCAGGTGGCCCAGTGGATAGCGCACTTGCCTATCGCCAAGGCTGAGGCTCGATTCCCTGATCGGACGTGAAAAGGTATGGGGTCACCTGCCCGACAACATGGGCTTTCTCCGGTTCCTCATTTCCCTCTCACATTAACGGCCCTGCGAGCTAACATCCGGGCAAAAAAGAATGATTAATATGAATTAATTTGTTTTTTATTATTTTTGTGAAATACATTAAGTTCAGCTATCTTATTCTATTTCAGTGTGACCATAGACTCGACAAGTTCACGCTTCGTTGGTGCGTGGTGGGTGGGCTTCCTTGTGTGTGGCGTTCTGTCTGTTATCATGAGTATCCCCTTAGCCGGATTTCCTGCAGCACTGCCAAGTAAGTGTTGGTAACTAGTTCGGTACATTATAGTTTACCCAGCTGTAGAAACATGTAATGTTGATTCTGGTGCTGGTTCTGTAATCAGCATCGTTCTTTTGAATATTTGGTGCCTCGGTAGTCGTGATCGCTAACGTTCACAGTTATTACTACTGTGCTGCAATCAAGCGTGAGCTTCAGAACATTCACTCTCCCAAGAATTTCGGTTCGATCCCCAGCGGTGGCAAAAAAATAGAGTGATATATGATAAGTTTAGTTGTTATCCCTCCGATGGCACGGTTGTTTTTCCCCGTGGGTTTTCCTCCCTCACCAAAACAACATTTGTTCCTTTAGGGGCGTCGGAATAAAAGCTCTGCAGAGCTTATGTTTGTTGTTGACAATTTACACGACGTTAGGTAAAGATTATTTATTTACTTATTTATCTAGCTGATTGACGGATTACATGGTACTATCAACGGTAACCATCATCTTTTATACAGTGCAATTTAGTAAACCATTAGGCTAGCTTGACACAGATTTGTTTTTATATTGTTTAACGTCATTTTAACAGCTAAGGTCATTTGAGGACGTGTTTGACAAAGATATGTACATTCTTACTAGCTACATTTTTACCAGCAGATTATCATATTCATCGGTCATTGCATAATTGCATATTAGAAAATGTCAAGACCCTGTGTCCATGTCTTATTGAGTGATATCACCTTAGTGTCGTCAGATTTTTGTTCCAATATCGGTATTTTTGTGTCTTTTTCTGTTTATACCAAATGCTTTTTTTCAGGTTCAACGAAGTATACTGCCGAACGACATACGGAAGTGTACAAAAACAAGAAAGTAACACAAAACGATGCTACCCGTACTGTTCGTCTCACTAAGATCTGGAAGTCTCTGAAGACATTGTTAACCAACCCTACGTACATGTTTCTCAATCTAGCCTCAGCGACAGACGGTATGTGTACATGTATGTACCTAAGGTATGTGTCATACCAGTTACCACTTAAATATCAGCAATGATGACGTTTAAGTTCTATAATACAATCCTCTTTATGGTATCACTCATTCAGTGTCTTATTTCGATTTAAGCACAATCAGATTTGGATGTCGAGGTTAAGGAGTCTCCTACTTTGATATCATACACTTTTGATACTTTAGACGCAGCTCATTGTCTGTTTTAGTAAAGAGTCTTAGACTCGTTTTCGAAGCTGATCTACTTGCAAGGTAGTCTAGTTTTGAAGAAATGTTGACAGTTTATCATATATAAGGCTTATTATCAAGACATTTTGTTTCCAAATTCAGTTTCAAATTCAAATTTATTTGGCGTACCTATCGAACATTGATAACAAGATCCGTATTTTGTTTTGATATTAGACATAGTAATTTGTCAAGAGTTTATATAAGTTTCAAAGCCACACGATTGTAAATAAAGTACCAATAAGACTATCAGTCACTAATAAAACTTTGTTATCGGGTAGCTAAAACAAATGTTACATTATCTCAGGGTGCTTAAGAGAGTGAAACCGACTGATAACAATTAAGAGAGGTTTCTGATCAATAATTAAACAGTTCTGTGATTTTTTTATATCGAACATTAAGGATGATTTTTCAACAGTAGTTTAGACCTACTTGGATTTCCAACTTTTTTGCCCCTAGCTAGCATCACCGATAAGTAGAACCAGTTATATGATACAGTGGAATTCATTGCTATTATTAAATGTTAAAAGTGTGGGTATGTTGCGTTCATCTACTCGAATACTATGGCATTGAAGTTGTCAACCATTTCTTTATAAGGGACTCTTAATTTGATGTTATATAAAATTAGATAGACCAAATATTTTAGTTGTATTTAGATGTAATCCTTCAATAATCTGTTATAGCCGAGATGAGAAATATGACTCCTACCAAGTACAAGGCATATTTTTAAGACTGGCCTTTGTTGAAAGACCGCTTATTCGACATATGTTATTTGCATTAAGAAATCCAAGGTTTTATCAAGTCTGGGACCTTATTCATGAAACTGTTCTCATGCTCATGGGTGGATTCTGTACTCAAACCAACTTTCTTGTTACTCACCTAAATCAAACCAAAAGATCAAAAAGTTAAATTATAAACACAATCAAAACAGTATTCGGCTTTTATTCTCCTTATTTGCTTTTCCAAATCACTGACATAGTAAGAGATATTTAATCATTTTTAACCGGAACAAGGAATTAGGCTTGAGCACAAAAATCATGCTTGAGCATGAAAACGGTTTAATGAATACGGGCCTTGGTTTTTGGGTTGAATCCGGCCTATAATTAAGATTTAAGCGTGCATTAACAACATCCGTAGTTGAGTATTGATCATAGATTACATAAAATGTACATTACATAAGTATTGTTTATACATTGCCATGATAAGATGGGTAATTTGTTTACGTTGCATACACATGATTTTTTTTGATTTTTTTTATTATTATTTATGACTACTATCATTGTTTATAAATAGAACACATAAGATGATTATTTTAGGTTATTGTGTTCATGCATGATTATTGGTTCATTCTATAAATTTCTCACACCTGCCTGCTTCCCGTGCTAACTAGTGAACTCCCGTTAACGTCTATTTCCCTTGTCAACCATATCAACTGATGCGTCTCATTCATTATGCTATTATTTGGTCTAGTTAAGAAGTGGTAGCTACAGTTAAGCGCGTGTAGTAAATGGCTTGCCATCTTTGATAGATTAATTCGTGTTTAAATTGAGTAAACATCCCACAACCTGACAGAAATAGAACAGCATTCCTGAAATGTTTGTATTTTTCTGCCAATGGTTGATAACTGTTTTATACAATACACCAATCAGCAGATTCAATTTTCATTTTCAAAACATATTAACTTGTTACCAGTTCTATAAATAAAGTATGACATCATAGTATTGTATCTCGTTCGTGGATCATTTGCATACCTGCATGTACTGTTGTCGACGTCATGGAAACCTGTCACGATCAATGTTACGATTATGAGATTATTACTCTAGTTAACAGAAGCGTTTGGTATTGATTGACTAGCAGTGCAGACTGTACATATGCTGGTACATGTATATGAAACATCACTCTTGTGGATTCTTTCGTGATCACGGTTTTGTATTCATGTGAACGACAAACATTTGTTAACAAAATAATATACACAGTAATAAAATGAGAAGGGCTTATTCAATATTAAGCGAAAATTAATTTTATCGTCAAAGGGTGAAAATTTAATTGGATGAAACTTTCCCGGTATACATTATTCAAAAATATTTACTCACTGTTTTGTTTTCACTTATAGGAATATTATTGGTTGGCTTGTCCACATTTATGCCAAAGTTCACGGAGGCCCAGTTCGGATTGCCCTCCTCCACCGCTGCCCTTTATGTCGGTTAGTATACCATGATATCTCTTACAGCGCTGACGACGAAATTAATAGATGTTCTGACAAAGGTCCAGGAACTACAAATACACCAATACAGTAGGAGAGAGGGAGAGAGGGAGAGAGAGAGAGAGAAAATTATGCGATGTGTTATAAGTCAACATATTCATATGCCAATGCTTGTATTATAACGACATTGCTTTGCCAAATTATTGAGACTGTTATTGTATATCATGTAAAAGTCAATGAAGTGGGTACTGGTATGAACATAGTATTTTTTACCGTCTATGTATATTAATGCTGCTTTTATGTATACATATTATTGTATATAGTATGTTGCTCATTGCATTATTGATGCCATTATGTAATTGTTTAACGGAAAAGGATGTTTTTAAGTTGTAATAACTTGTGTACAATTTCTTTTGAATTGTTCAAATTAAATTAAGCTAGATTAAATATAATGAACCCCAACAATGTGGTTTGTTGGCCAGTATAAGTTGTCTATGCCATTGCGGGTGTACGCATTGATAAACATGACAATTCGAATAACTCTCCATTGATTTTAATTCAGAAATATGCACACGTGATACATGTTGAGCGTCTGGGAGCCATCTTGTGAGATCCCAGTTCAGGGGCCTGTTCGTTTATGTGAAACAAACTGTTTGTCTGTTTTTAAATTCAACGTTTTGGGTATCAACACCTGTAAGCAGCATCCGATATCTAGGTCCGACCTTATTTCATAAATGAACAATTCTGGTCAAACCTGTTCAGCCGTTTGTACTGCGATAAACGGAAACGGCCCAAGTCTCGGGCAAAGTTTATATCACAAAGACGCTTAAAGCCTATCTATAATCTGTATCAGGAATGTTTGTACATGTATTACTAAAGACAAACCACACTTGAGCGGGGTATTTGTTATTGTACCATTTGCTGTAGAATAGTGTTCAAGTTGATACGTGAAAGACTATAGAGTGTTGTTCTGTGTTCCAGTATCTGTAATGTGATTGAAGTTGTATGAATATGAATCGTACCATCTATTTTGTGTCAATGATAGTTATCTTTGCAATTTATACTTCTGGCCTACGTTAATGGAAGATGTCCCTACACGTGTGGGGTTATTGTAGTTGACATAATTATACCTGGTACTGGTATGTGTATAATAATTTGATGTTATATAAAATGGTTATTTTGGAGCGATATTAGATTCCAGCTTAATTTATGTATACAGGATATTCTTTGTAGACCATTTTGTCATGATTTGTAGGTGCTGTTGTTGTTCCCGGAGGAGCGGGTGGCACTCTTCTTGGAGGATACTTAATCAAGAGGTTTGACCTGCGTATAAAGAAGATACTTCAGATTTGCATGGCCCTTATCATTGGCAGCCTCGTTTTCGGTCTCGTATTCATCATGAGCTGTCCTAGCATTTCGTTCGCTGGTGTCAATATTCTTTACGGAAGCACGGATATAAAAAGGTGAGTATAATCATTTTTGGTGTGTGGGGGAGGGGGTTAGAGGGTTATTTATTTTTAAGTTTACAATAGATTTTCAATTTTCGCTTTGTTTTTTGGGTAATTTTGTTATTGCAACCATACTTAACTAATTAGTTAATTATGCAACATTCCGTACGTATATAAGCAAATAATATATTCAACAAATAAAAGCTTTCAGAGACTCGTGATATGCCATTTGTGCTTTTTCTGTCCAGACGTCAATTATTTTTGTTTACTTTTCAACATAAAACGTAGAGGTAATACGTTATTCTTGAAATATGTTAATGTTTAGTGTTAGCTTCACTTAAAGAAAGGAATGGCTCTCGAAAGAGAATTTTGCAAAAAGGTAAAATAGTAACCCACAGGTACTCATTGAATGACCTTTGCATTAATGAAGGTTCGCCTCTTTGCAGCACATCGTTCCTTGGAAGTTTTCAGACCGACACCTGTCATGCTAACTGTGGGTGTAGTCAGTCCGAGTTCAGCCCCGTATGTGGCCAGGACGGAGTGACTTACTACTCACCTTGCTATGCTGGTTGTCAAAGAATGGTCATGGTCGGCTCAGATATGGTCAGTGTTATCACCTTCAGGTTCGGGAATGTTGGAAATTTACACTATAGTATCCGAAAAATAGCGCTACCACATACCACATGTATGCAATGTTATATATCATATATTCCTGAGTATAAGCTTTAGATTAAATAGCTTTAAGTGATGTATTAACCAAGGGTAACCCGTCCACCAGGACATACAAGGTATGCATCTCAATTTCAAAATATTGTATTAAATCGATAAGATAAAATGGGAATTAGGCAACAGCTAAGCCTATAAAACCCTCTGCCTAATAATTCATAATCATGATTTGCATAATATTGAAGTGAATTCTCTGTAAATTTCCAGCAATACTTCAACTGTACTTGCGTTGGAAACAACATGACAGAATACGACGCCGTGCTTCACAAGTGTGAATCCGACTGTAACCTCCCATTGTTTATGGTTGTATTCTTCGGCATTGTGCTGCTAACATTTGTCAGCTCCATTCCTTATCTAACCGCCACCATCAGGTAAAGACTCAGTCTCATGAAACATTTGATATCAATAAGTTTGTTTTAGGCCCGTTCTTTTACAAATATCTACTATTCAATTTGTGTGTCGATAATTAACATTTTTATTACCTTTTACATTGGAAAATTAAATCCTTTTGTACCAATTTAATCTTCGGCAATCAATTCATTGTAATAACAAACAAAACAAAATATATCTATGTACTCTGTGCCAAAAGTTCCCTGAAAATATCTGCATATTTAATTAGAATGATTCTCAAGAAATTAATTAAACATCTGTGATAAAACAAGTGAAAATTTGATTTATCAAAAAAATTGAATGCATTTTTTTTAAAGTTACCAACTGAGCAGACGCAAGCTTTTTAAGGTTAAATACACTTTGTCAAACCTTTTGACTTCACAAAGGATTTATATTTTGATTACAACGGTTCACAACTCTCAAAAAGTTATGCACAAGTAAAGTAATTAATTTTGTATGCCTGCATGCTGTTTTGGGATGTCATTATACTTTACTCAAGCATCGAATGGTTCGAAAGAGATCTTACAATAGTGAAAGCCTATGTAATTTTCATTGGTAGAATTTTATGATGCATTGCTATACTAGACACGATTGGCTGTTACAGATGTGTACCTCCAGACGAGCGGGCATTCGCGATTGGGATCCAGCTTTCTTTCACAAAATTTCTCGGTAAGTGGTATGTGTATATGGGTCAATGGGTCAGTAGAGACGTACACAAATAATTGATTGACGTTTAAATTCCTACTTTGTGAATGTTAAACCAGTTTCGAGGAGCAAAAGACAAACAATATATATTTACAACAAAACAGCTTACCAGCGTTCATGCAAAGATTTAAACTCAATATTTATGTGAAATGTGTGCAATTCAAGTTTAGCCTTTAAGCATGAACTACTTACATAGCGTGGACTAGTGGCGTAGCAGCAATAAATAAAAAAAGGTAGGCGTCTAAAAAACCCGAGAAACGATAAGAACAGTGGTAATGAAAAGTTTATCATCATGCTGTAAAATCATAAACTTTCGTGGGACATTAAATTTCGTTTACTTCGTAGATAACAAAAAACCACGAAATTAAATCTCTACTAAAACATAAATTTGGTATGATATAGATAGGGGATTGTCAGAAATCACCAAAATATAATGTCCTTGAAACAGGCTAGTATATGAAAACCACAAAATTTTGACCCCACGAAAATCAATGATTCTACAGTATACTGATTACCATATACTAAAGGCAACGTGGCAAATCCTGGAACGCAGTGTATTTCTTGCTTTTGACGATGTACAGAAATTTCCTTTAAAATGTCATGCATTTTTGTTTTTCAATATTCATCTGAATCTGTTTTCTGTTACCGTAGGGTATATTCCTGGACCGATCCTCTTCGGCTGGCTGATCGATCTCTCTTGTTTAGTATGGAACTCAAAATGTGGTGTTGACGGTTCGTGTTTCTTCTACGACAATAAACAGATGAGTAATAATATATTAGCGATTATCTTGGCTGGTAAGGCGGTAACTACGTTATGGACTGTGTTCGCGTACCTGTGTTATATCCGGGGACCCAAAAATGAAAAGAAAGAACACCAATGCAATGATCAGCATGGAAGTCAGTTCTCCTCGCAGGAAACCTTCATCTCTGTAATATCGAACCAGTGCGTGTCAACAGCACAACCAAGTTCTGCGACAGATCTACAAAATGAACAAGATTCTTATGAACCAACAAAATCCGAACCAAATGGTATGGAATCTTCTAAACGGGAATCCTTACCTACAGAACAAACAAGTACAGAGTCGCCCAAGAAAGAACTATCGCCTACAAGATCGATAACCACTGAACTTTAATACAACGGTTAAAAGACAAATTAAATATTGCCAGAGGGTACAGTGGATGAAATTTCAACATTTGGTAAAACTATCCGGAATTTTGTTCCATGTCTTATATCTGATGTTGGTTTTGTATCTAAATCAGACAGTTGTTTTAACCTCGCTGCGCCAGTCTATCAATGTGGAAAAATGCGTTAATCTGACACAAGATCTCATTTAAAGAAAGGGTAATCTGTCTCTTTTTTACCCTTTCGAATGCCATGATACTTCTCTTGAGTGGGCAAACGGATAACAAGCTACATATACCGGTGATAACAAAATACTTTTACCACCTTAATTGCACTTGCAGGGCTAAATAGGAGGGGAATAACGTTTTTTGTCCTCCAACACCTACACAGTCTGTTTGCTTGAAATCCGAGAATATAAATTAATTATAACTTATATATGACTCTAGGAGGACTAGATCGTTGAATTCTATTTTATGAAGGTTAATATCAATACAGGTATACATGTTAAATGTAAAAGTCGTATCGTCTACATAAGCATTTAAATACGTAGGTGTATACTGTACTCTAAGGCTGAGGTAATGTCACTTGTGCTATCCTTTCGTGACATCACAAAATATACATCCACGTCCATTAGTCGGATCAATTACTGTAAACTCCATTTAAATTCTGATCAGATCGAATGAAGACTGGGTTAATCATATATGTACGTAAACGCTGCACACACGAACAAGTAATGGCGTCACATGATTAGTTTCGTTCGCGGAAAACATACATAGCTCCGCTAATAGTGATGGACTAGGTGCAGATGTAAAGATTATTTAAATCAATATGTTTATTTGTTTTCAATGCACATTTATGTACAATGTGATGAAAATGTTTGTTCTACAATCTCATTTATCATTGTTTGTGACCACAGAGAGAAGATTCAGAGTTACATAGGAAAACGTATCCTAAACAGCGATTTTATACCATTAATGGTGGGTGTTTCAAGATAAACAATTATTACTTTACAGTATTTATTATTATCCTGGGACGATGTACATATAAAACATTTTATCATGTTCAAATTACATTTTTGCATTCAACAGATACCCTTCTCTTAAACTCGCTTCATGATCAAAACATTAGTTAGCTTTAAGTTTTAACATCAGTTTGACCCATCTGGACGCAATTGAGCTAATGTCAAAAAAGTAAGCGTGACCCATTCACCTTTAGTAGTTTCTAAATGATATGAGCATTGTTGAAAGAATCCCGTTGTTTACCGTATTTGAATCACTCTGGACAATTAGCAAAAAACACTATAAAGCCAATCAACACTTATATCGAAAATAATTTTGACAGTGTAGCGAAATTTAACTGTTTTTCACTGGATTTCAATGTATAAGTTAAATACAATGACATAAATATTGACTTCGTTTGTATACCGTAACGTATGTCAATAATATCGTTTTGATAGTGCAATATTAATCAATGGCCCTACAATTGTATTCAAGTTGGTTATACTCACTGTAAAAGTAAGTGTCATTTATTAAAAAACTGAAAAACACACAGTACTAAATCAACCCGTAATATCACGCTCTCTATTCTCAAGTATCTTCCTGGATAGTTTAAAAACTCTGATTCGTTTACCTCTCTCTTTGTGACGTTATTTTGTTCCATATTAAAGCACAGAACTGCTTTCAGACGTCTGCATTCATAGACAATATCAATCTCAACTGCACGAAGGTCAACTCATTGCTTTTGTCCTTTTGGCAATCACATTGCATATGACTGCCAAATTAAAGTAGTTCAGTACTTATATTTACCATTGTTGAAATATGTTAGTCCCATATAACATTCAATTCACTTAGCATTGTGCAGTTTATAGATCCAACAAGTGTAAGTATAGTATATGCTTGTCACAAATAGAACAGCCATTTTTCAAGCCATGAAGCATCAACAATCGTGCCATGCCATTATAGCTGATATGAATGCCATTTGTACGCGGTAAAGTGTTGTTGCGACAAAGATATACAGTGGTAAATGTATATAGACATATATAGCAAGATATTGTTTTGTTGTAAGTAACCCTGCAAGGATTCGGTGTAATAGTTAAAAAAAATATGCAATAGAATTTAGAACAAATGTAGCATGGAAGAATACATTATTAGCATTAATAATTTGACCAATGATGTTATGTTATATAATGGCCACAGTTTGTTTATGTTAGTTCATATATGCAATGTTAGAATTAAAAAAAATGTTACTTTAAAAGATGCTGGTTATTTTGACTTGTCTTATATCGTCTTTTATGTTTGTTTTTTTTTTTATTTATCAGCGGTTACTGGTAACATGCCTTAAATGGCAATACGGACTGTGTAATGCTAAGCTGCACGACCAGCATGATATTTGATCTTTCCGTTCGGGAACTTTATCATTCGTGCAAAGTAACATACTTGCTTCATCAACCTAGCATGTCGCAGTCGATTGAGTATTTAACAGTTTGGTCCGAATACGATGGTTTCCCCAATATATGACGACTGCTGACGGACAAATGTACAACACAGTCATTCGCGAGAGCAGGGTGCTGAAGACTATGTTTTATGGTTGCCAACATTATCTTTCGATTCATGTGCGACATGTGTATGAAAGTGACGATTTGTTTCTAAAATATCAGTTTGAAGAGCAATCCTGGCGCGGGTCGCTTATTTCCCGCATGTTATAGAGGGCCGGAGTTCTGACGTTAATCGACGCCAGACCGATATAAACAAAAGTCGATAAAACGTCAGAAAAATTCGGACTATATGTGAATATGATAGTCAACAAGGAAAGTGTGAGGTCTTATCTCTTGTTCAGGATGCAAGAATTTGGCAAATGATGACTTGATACTGGCGTTTGCGTTTATAATGAGATGGTTGGTTTCACTGCTACCGATTCAATGTCAGCACTGGTCACAGTATCAAAGTCATGACCTTAAGTCATCAAATTCAATCAGATATTGATAACATTATATTGTTAGAAAGGTTAACTGAATGTATGTACACAACGGTTTGCAAGTAAAAGTGCTTGTTCGTCACTTGTAAAATGAATGTTCCTTTTGAACAGTTCATACATACGTCAATTTCTCGCCTTTAACTGACTGAACAACAACTGGTGTTAAACGCATACTGACTAGATATTGTTTGCTTACCCCCTTCTATTAATTCTGATTTCCATTGTATCTCCAGCCGAAAGTTATATAACATCAGACGCTTATATGTAAGAGGAAAGTTTGGATTAACCATCCTGATGTATTTCCAGACAATACCGATTATCGAACAAAAAACCCATTGATCGTTCATGAAAGCTATCATAACCCCATTTTACGTCTTCCTATTTAAATTCATAAATTCGAAGCCAAATAATCCTGATCTATCACCAGGCAAACTGTACATCGTGGAAAAATGTTCAACATAAACGGGATTGAATAACATCTTAAAAGTTCAAACTAATAATCTTTACATGGCGCATCCTCGATGCTTCAGTGGCTACTCTCACTTTTGGTCTCTGTATCTCTGGATTATGTGATAGAGAAGGCTCAGTGTGCGCCACCTTGTTGATTAATCTGTTTGAGTCTTTGATGTACATCAGAAGAACCTCGCGGTCGCGTAAATATAAAATTGACTGGCTTTGAAGTCGGGCATCACTCCTCTGTGATCTTCAAAGGATAGGTACGAGTCTAATGATTGTCATTTTTTTTTACCAGAGACCAATCAAATAGCTAGGCGCATGCCTTCAATATTGCTATGACATATCCCCGGGATGTAAAGAGAGAAAGTGAACGTAACCCCTGGAGTATCGAGGATATACATGACGTTGCCCTTCAGCTACTAGAATCGGAGATGTGCTGAAAAAATATCTCCTTATCACGCTGGCTTCTTCTGTTACAAACTCTCCGCTTTCATTCTCTTCACCATGTTATTGTTTGCAGAGTACCGGAGAATGAGAAAAAATATTAGAAGAGTTGACATACAAAACACTTAAAAATGGTCAGTAATATTATCTGAGCCACTAACATCTTCAGCCAACGTATTGCAGGAGTACTGTCTGTTTCAGTGATTGTTGAATTTATTGACAAAATAAGAATGAAGAACAGATATAAAATTCTAGAAATTATATGTTGTGATTGAAACAAAACATGAATGCATTTTCTAATTCAAATCATTCTTACCTCATTTGAAAATGCTACATACATTTAAAGAAAACTATTTCTTAAGATATGCTGTGAACTCCCTTTCCTATTTTATACATAAATCTAATTTGATTCATTTGCTTTATTGCTAAAATGTAGTTCATTTTTTACATCCATAAGGAATGGTCTTTTTAACTTGAGAAACATTTTTATAATTATCAAAAATGTACACAGGTATTGTATCAATTTAACAACAAGGAAATGTTTTTGGTAAACAAAGCTTTAAAAGAGACGAAACATAAAACATTTTCAAACAGTACGTTAAGTATGTACTCTCTGTTGTACCAGAGGTTTTGTGTTGATATCTTTTAAAAAATGGGTCTTAATGTGGGGGAACCTTTTAGTCTAAAAGGTTGACAAGTATACTCCAAAACAGCGACTTAGCATCATATTCTGTTTATCTGTACCAGACAACTAGAAGGATATTATCCCAACTATCTAATAATCTGGACGACAGGGAGATCTATAATCAAAAATGCGCCCAATATAATCGACAACTGTTAAGGTAATGCAAAATATTGTGTCCTATACTAATTTATAATCGACAACGAGGAAGGTTGTTCAAAAAGATGTGTCCTATACCAGATTATTCTTGACAACGATGAGGGAAATACAAAATATTGTGTCTTATTCCAGTTTATACTAATAAACAAGAAAGGTAGTACAAAATATTATTTCTAATACCAGTTTATACTCGACAATGAGGAAGGAGTAAACAAATTGTTTCTTTACCAGTTTATACTCGACAACGAGGAAGGTGTAAACAAATTGTTTCTTTACCAGTTTATACTCGACAATATTAATGAGGAAGGTGTAACCAAATTGTTTCTTTACCAGTTTATACTCGACAATGAGGAAGGTGTAAACAAATTGTTTCTTTACCAGTTTATACTCGACCATGAGGAAAGTGTAAACAAACTGTTTCTAATACCAGTTTATACTCGACAATGAGAAAGGTGTAAACAAATTGTTTCTAATACCAGTTTATACTCGACAATGAGGTCGGTGTAAACAAATTGTTTCTAATACCAGTTTATACTCGACAATGAGGAAGGTGTACACAAATTGTTTCTAATACCAGTTTATACTCGACAATGAGAAAGGTGTAAACAAATTGTTTCTAATACCAGTTTATACTCGACAATGAGGAAGGTGTAAACAAATTGTTTCTTATACCAGTTTATACTTGACAATGAGGAAGGTGTAAACAAATTGTTTCTAATACCAGTTTATACTTGACAATGAGGAAGGTGTAAACAAATTGTTTCTAATACCAGTTTGTACTTGACAATAAAAAAAGAAAGTAAACATATTTTGTCCTATACCAGTTTATACTCGAGCATAAGGAATGTAGTACAAAATATTGTGTATATGTCTAGAACCATTGTAAACTAGAAAACGAAGAAGGTGTACTGAATTCCAAAATTTCATGTTAGTACCATTATATACTCGACAACACAGAACGTAGTATCCACCATCTTGATCAGGTCGCTAGAGAACGAGGAAGGCAGTACATGGAATCTTGTCCTGCATACATGGACACGGTAAATAAAGTGTTAACACTGACACCTTAGTTTACTGTAAATTAAAGACGACAGTCTTCCTTTTACACCGATTCCTAGACGGCACAGCAATTATAACAATTATAATCAAAATGGTGTCCGAAAGTTTTCGAATTCAGCAGGTAAAATTATATCATAAATGTAAGGAACAGTACATGATGAATTTATACCTAAACATTTGCAAACAAAAGTATACGCATGTTACTCATAAATTGAATTTTAACAGTCAATACATTTTGATGTCAATCTGTCGTCAATGGCGGAACATCTACTAGTTATTAACGCTGTTTGTTTTATCTCCTGGCGAGATATTTGTTGTTTCCGTTGTTAGTTAGGATTTTTAAAATTTTATTTTGGTACACTTAAAGGAACTTAACTTACAATGGTATCTTTGTGTTACAAAACCGTTAATATTGATCTATCATTATATGGTTAGTACACGAAAACAAACATATGTAGTCACATTAAGTGTTTCATATTGAATTCATTAATGGGTAGACAAACACCTGATCAATCACAAGGAACAGGTATGGCGTCAGATAACAGTTAATATAAAATGATTGGATGTTATGTTAAATTCATTGGTTAATTCAATACAGAAATATAGCGTTCGTAGAACACTCCCTTTTTAAAATGAATGAGTGCTACAAACAATTTTTCTCTTCAACATGCTTGCTTCGTATTGTAACGGATGCGTGCCTACAGTTCGTTACCAAGTTCTTTCTTGGACCCAGTAATTGTTGTAACAAACAAGTGCCGACAATATATACAAAATAATGGCCGTCTTTCTGACTCAAATAACTATTACCTAATCTACACCCGGTAGATATTTTACATTAATATACCTCTAACACTAATATAGTCAAAAAGCCAACTAAAACAACTGTATCACAATATATCCCTGTATCAACAGCCCCTTACTGCGACACCCGTGACTGTGTACACCCTTTACCGCGACACACCTTTACCACGTCACCTTTTACCGCGACTGCCGTTTGACCAAGTCACCCTATAGCTAGCCACTATAAAACCTATGCCTTGGTAAACCCTGTGTCTTGGTACCTGACACCCTGTATCAACAGTACGTCGCCCTGTACTGTGATACCCTGTGACTATGCACACTATACTGTAACACAATTTATTTTGACCATGTACTATAAAGGAATACAGTGGAACCCTAGCTTATGCAGCTAGGCCCAAACTTATACAGCTTGGTCACTGATTACCTTTTTAGAGTTGTTCCTTCTTCTTCGACCGCCAGAGCAAGAGAAGCTTTTCATCTGATGGAACCTCTATTTATATACCTAGCCATCCAATGAAATGCCTTCTTTCATTAGCCAATCAAAACTACTCTTACTTCCTAATTACAAAGAAATAACTAAAGCAAGTCTATACTAACGATCATTTATTGAACAATGTAATTAACAAAGAATCAACCGCTTCATTACCCACGCCTCTGATTCAATGCGTCCCGCATTCACAGTAAGTAAAAGAGCAAATGTATATTTTTGTTTTGTTTTGTAAATGTCTTTGAATCACTCAGTCGAACCATTCTTCTTCCTCAACCTTGACAACAGACTTCCCATTCTCCGTGTACGATGTCGTTGTCTTTATGGTTCTCCTGTGGTTTGAAAAGTTCACCTGGACAGCTGCATCCACAAATGTCTTTACATTGCCTAACTGTGTCCCTGTATCTCTGGTCTGTAGTCCTGGTTCACGTACACTACCTGTGACGGATTTCACAGCAATACTCGAAACACGTGCAGAATCTTGTGGAATGTTAGGTCTCTTTGGTGTATATACAGGGTTCGGACGACAGGGTTTTCTCACAGTAATCATTTCTTCCATCTTAGATGTCTTAGATGCAGGTTCTGGATCGTCCTCAGATATTTCCCCTAGGATATCTAACACATTCCCTGGATCATGTTCATCCAACGAGTCTTCTCGTACTGGGTGCTTCCTCTCCTTGTGTCTCTTCAGACAAACATTCTTCTCCGTGACAAAGTTACACTCATTACACTCAAACTTCTTCTTTTCTCTTGCATTGGTTCCGCAGATCACCAAGTGCGCTTTCCACTCTTCATCTGATGGAAGTCTCTCGCAACACAGCGGACACACCAAACCTGGCTTTCTCGGAGTTGTTTTCACTTGTGGCATCTTCCTATAACACACAAAGATTCACATCTATCATTTTTTTTTTTTTTTTTTTACAGTACATATTCAGTCATCCAGACTGGTCTTCTTCTGACACGGCCTTTTGTGCTATCTGGAAGATCTACAATCTCGTTCACCTCGAACTCTGATCCATTTTGTATTTGGTCAACCTCGACATCTGTACGAGTCTCACTTTCACCTTTGAGAACCTGGGATTGGCATCTGCGCATCCTGTCAACATGAATAACATGTTCTTTCTTGTTTTCATCACTAACAACCTTGTAAATGACATTTGATACTTTTTCAACTACCTTGAAAGGACCTTGCCAAAAACTCATCAGCTTTGATGACCTGCCAACCTTCTTTTGAGGGAAAAACACATAGACCAACTCCCCCGTCTCGTAACTATCCCATTTTAGTTTCAGGTCATGGTAATGTTTCTGTCTCAACATCGCCCCTTCCAAGTTTTCTCTGGCTAACCTATGAGCCGAAACCAACCTCTCTCTAAGTTCCCAAGCCCATTGACTTTGCAAAACTGGTTTAGACTCGTTAGGGAGATCATAGAACAGATCAACTGGGGTAGAAACCTCTCTCCCTAACATAAGCATGTTTGGAGTAAACCCTGTACTTTCCTGTTCTGTTGACCGGTACGCCATCATAACGTAAGGTATGTGAACATCCCAGTCATCCTGACACTCATCAACATAGGCACAAAGCATGCTTGCAAGAGTCCGATTGAATCTTTCTACCATACCGTCCGATTTCGGGTGATATGGCGTAGTTCTCGTTTTCTTGGTGCCAAGCAAAAGACACATCTCTTGAAACAGTTTGCTTTCATATTGTCGCCCCTGATCCGAGTGTATGGCGTTTGGTACACCAAAACGAACAACAACCTCCTCCACGATGAGTGCAGCAACTGTACTGGCCTCCATATTTCGCATGGCAAAAGCTTCTGTCCACTTGGAAAAGTAATCACTTACTACCAAAATATATCTGTTTCCGTCCTTTGTTTCCGGTAATGGTCCGAGTATGTCAGACGCCAATCTTTCCATGGGATATCCTGTAGGCTCTATTTGCATAGGTGCTCGTCGTTTTGCACATTCTTTCCTACATACACAATGTTTGCACCCAGCAATATACTGTCGAACATCTCTTTGCAAGCCAGGCCAGTAGAACTTCTGTCTCACACGACTCAGTGTTTTGTGCACTCCTAGATGCCCACTAGTTCTTGTGTCATGACACATGTTCAGCATGGTTCGTCTTTCCTCATATGGTACAACTATTTGACTCTTTTTGTGTTTTGAAGGGTTTACCCAACGTCTGCACAGTAAACCGTTGTCAATAGTCAATTGATCCCATTGTGCAACAAGGGATTTTACCACATTGCTCAGAGGCTTTACCGAACCTGGATTTGGCTTTTTCCCGCTCTTTACCCATTCAGTTACTAATTTCAGATCGCTATCGGCCTCCTGCTTTTCTTTCAATGTACTTGTATCTTCATCTTGTTTGTCAATATTCACTTTTGGGTTACCATCCTTCTTGATCGTTCGTACAGGAAGTGGTCCCTCCCCTTGGTCACGTTCCCAATCTTCATAGAATCCACACTGGTGACAGGGAATCCTACTCATTGCGTCTGCGTTTCGGTGCAACTTCCCTGCTCTGTGCTGGATTTCTATATCATATGTTGAAATGACCTCGAGCCAACGAGCTAACTGTCCTTCTGGTTCTTTGAATCTCATTAGCCACTTGAGTGCACTATGGTCAGTTCTCACTATGCACTTATGTTTGTAGAGATATGGTCGATACTGCTTGATACAATATACCATTGCTAGTAACTCCTTCCGGGTTACGCAGTATTTCCTTTCTGACTTGGTAAGTGCTCTACTACTGTAAGATATCACGTTCTCCTTGCCATCAATACACTGGGACAAGACTCCACCAATAGCAAATTGACTCGCATCTGTGTCCAAGATGAATGGTTTGGTAAAATCAGGGTAGGCTAAGATTGGTGCTGTGATCAAACATTTCTTAAGCGTATCGAATGCAATTTGGCATCTGTCTGTCCAAGTGAAAGATGTTCCCTTCTCTGTCAGCTGGTGAAGTGGTTTTGCGATCTCGGCAAACCTGTGAATGAAACGTCTATAGTAGCTACAAAGTCCAATAAATGACCTCATATCTGTCTGCGTCACAGGCAGTGGCCATTCTTTCACTGCTTTCACCTTTTCTGGGTCTGTTGATATGCCATCTCCTGAAACAATGTAACCCAGGAATAACACTTGTTTTCTAAATAGATGACATTTCTTGGCCTTGAGTTTTAGTCCTGCCTGACGTAGTCTGTCGAACACTTTTTCCAAGTTGACTATTGCTTCATGAAACGTTTTCCCTAAAACAATGATGTCATCAATGTACACCAGGCATATTTCCCAATGAAGCTTAGCCAGCACTGTCTCCATCAGGCGTTCAAATGTCGCTGGACTGTTGCAAAGTCCAAACGGCATCACGTTGAAATGGTAAAACCCACTTCTGGTTACAAATGCAGTCTTTTGCTTATCTGCTTCGTCCATTTCAACCTGCCAGTATCCCGAAAATAAGTCCAGTGTTGAGAACCACTTTGCTCCCGACAATCTGTCCAGTGATTCATCTACCCGGGGCAATGGGTATGCGTCCTTTATCGTTACCTTGTTCAGGGCACGATAGTCCACACAGAACCTTAAACTGCCGTCTTTCTTCTGTACCAAGACTACGCCCGATGCCCACGGACTAGACGATGGTTCTATAATTCCTCTGTCTAACATACTTTGGACCTGCTGATTAACTTCCTCTGCTGCATGGTGTGGAAATCGCCTTGGGGGTTGTTTAATAGGCCTTGTATTCTGAGTATCTATTGTATGCTTCACCATACTCGTTCTTCCCAAATCATCGTCTGATTTGGCAAACAAATCCTGTGACCTCAATAAGAGTTGCTTGACCTGCTCTGCCTGCTCTGGAGCCAAGTCCTTTCTAACTTCATTGTAGAGTTGCACAAGATGTTCTGGTAAATCTTGATATTTAAAACAGCATGTATCATCAACCACGTCCTGGTCAAGTACTCTCTCAGCTGGACTGATTTGTCCAATGTGTGTAGCACGATACACTTTCACAGCATGATCCGATGGATTGAGTAAGCGTACAGGAACAGTCTTCTGTGCCTTGACAACGGCCCGAGCTACCAGAGCCTTTCCTGTCTTCGTAAACTTCTCACAAGACTCCATGATACAGGCTTCACCACGAAGTTGTTCATTGTCAGGAACTTGCACTATTCCCTCACAAATTATCTCTGATCTTGGCGCTATACTGAGCGTCTCCTTCATACTGACTCGGTAGCATCCCAAATTACCTTGCCATGATAATGAACTGTCATTCCGACCAATTCTCATCTTTCCTTGCGCACAATCAATAATGCTTTTGCTTTCTTTCAGGAAGTCTAAGCCTATGATTCCATCTAGCTGCATGTCAACCACAACCGCTGTACACTCACAACTGTAATAGTCTATAGTTATGCGAAAACTTCCTTTCCCTACTACTGCCAAGGGTAGGTCATTGGCTCCAAGTATATCCCGCGTCATTGGTTGAAGATCTAGCCGGTTCCGGTCATTGATAGCTTTGTATGTTTGCTTTGATACTAATGACACAGTAGCACCTGTGTCTATCAGGAATTTTGCCTGAACTCCATTGATATCCAAGTGTACAAAAAGTCCTGCCTCTGCACCTTTACATCCTTGTACACATTTCAAGTGACTGGCGTTTGATGTTTTATCTGTCGTGTCCTTTGCTATCATTGCCAAATACTTGGGACATTTCCTTTTCATGTGACCCTCTTCCTTACAGAAGTAACACTGTATACTGTAGCGTCCTTTCTGTGCATCATATGGTTGCTTGTTTTGGTCCTTTTTACTATTTCCCTGTGTATCTCTCTTCGTTGCTTTTAAATCATGCATTTCTTCTTCAAGTTTCTTAATAGACTTTTGTAGGGACCCAAGCATGGTTGTCAGATTCTCCATAGCCTTATTCCCTTGACTGGTATCGTGATAAACGTTCTCACCAGAGGCAGACCTAACATACTTCTTTTCGTCCCTTCTGTCCCTTTCCACCTTACAGAACGACTCTATCTCAACTGCTAATCCAACAGCCTCGTTCAAAGTCTTTGGTCTTGACTGCTTAATTCTCAGTCTCATATCGAAATCTGGTAAAGCGTCAATGAAGTGATCCTTAGCCATCATCTCTGCAACATCTCTCGTTACTGTAGGGTACGCCAGATATGTCAATCGTTTGATTCCTTCGCCTAATTCAGGAATTGTCTCTGATGGGCCTAATCTCTTTTCCTTTAGCATTGAGCGATACAACTCCGTTTGGTTTGTCGGAGCAAACCGCGCCTCCAGTGCTGCTGTCAATAGTGTATATTGACCTGGCTCGTCCTTTGACATATTCCCTAGCACTGTCTGTGCATGTCCCCTCAATGATGCAGCAAGATATAACCCTTTTTGTGACTCGGTCCAACGATTGATTTTACTGCATGCCTCAAAATGTGCCTGATAATCCAGCCAGGACCCTGTCCCATCATATGTTGCCGGTTTCATATAATTAGACATTGGCTTCTGCATCGTAGCTAAAGCTTCATCATACATCCCCTGATCCTGGTAATTTGATTTCTTTTGCCGCACAGTAACACGTTCATCGTTGAAATCATGTCCTTCTATCATGGGAATATCATGTGTCACCCTCCTCGGACTATAGCAAGTCTCTCCGTAGTTCTGATCCCTCTCATGTACAATATCCCTGTTTCTTTCACTGCGTCTCTGAGACATACGTCCAATTTCATCAGGAGTACGGGTGTGCATGGGAGTATCATCAAACCTTACTGATGGACGCCGGTCTGTAACATCTCCCCTAGTATCTTTATGACCAACAATATCACTAGAACGCCGTGTAGTTCCTAAACCAGAGTCCCTAGGTCTATCACCTTCTACCTGTTTAACGATACTGGACAAAGGGGTTGATTGTGATTTGAGCCTAATACTATTTTCCCTTAACGTTGCTATTTTCTCCTCCAAATCACTTATCTCGCTGTCCAAGTCATTCATTGTGAACAACTGATCCTATTATTTCAAAGAATGTAAAATTAAACTACCAACACACTATAATGCCTTTATAGATAAATATATAAAACTATCACAACAGTGACTGGATCCCACTACGCTGCCACCAAAATATATGTAACGGATGCGTGCCTACAGTTCGTTACCAAGTTCTTTCTTGGACCCAGTAATTGTTGTAACAAACAAGTGCCGACAATATATACAAAATAACGGCCGTCTTTCTGACTCAAATAACTATTACCTAATCTACACCCGGTAGATATTTTACATTAATATACCTCTAACACTAATATAGTCAAAAAGCCAACTAAAACAACTGTATCACAATATATCCGTCACCCTGTATCAACAGTAAATAGCCCCTTACTGCGACACCCGTGACTGTGTACACCCTTTACCGCGACACACCTTGACCACGTCACCCTTTACCGCGACTGCCGTTTGACCAAGTCACCCTATAGCTAGCCACTATAAAACCTATGCCTTGGTAAACCCTGTGTCTTGGTACCTGACACCCTGTATCAACAGTACGTCGCCCTGTACTGTGATACCCTGTGACTATGCACACTATACTGTAACACAATTTATTTTGACCATGTACTATAAAGGAATACAGTGGAACCCTAGCTTATGCAGCTAGGCCCAAACTTATACAGCTTGGTCACTGATTACCTTTTTAGAGTTGTTCCTTCTTCTTCGACCACCAGAGCAAAAGAAGCTTTTCACCTGATGGAACCTCTATTTATATACCTAGCCATCCAATAAAATGCCTTCTTTCATTAGCCAATCAAAACTACTCTCACTTCCTAATTACAAAGAAATAACTAAAGCAAGTCTATACTAACGATCATTTATTGAACAATGTAATTAACAAAGAATCAACCGCTTCAGTATTGTAACCTTTTCTTACCTTGTGATCAGTTCTGAACTTTTCGTCTCCAAACCATCATAATTGTTTAATGCTATAAATTGCCAACACTTATTTTTAAAATAGTGTTAGGTTTGTTTATTAGTAATTATTTACGTCAAAGTTCCCTAATAATGTTGAGGTATGGTAATGATTTAAAAGAAGTCCCCCTTTTGCACGTTCTTATTCTACATCTCGTTAAAAATACAGCACAGCCAAACAAATAGTACCCTTCACCAAAATGTAAAGTTACGAGATACTTTCACGAGACACCTACTATCAAATAAAATGTGAACATGGAAATATTGCTGGATTTTGTGGAAAACTGCGTTATACAACAGTCAACATGTGGCTATTCTGAAATGGATCTACTTTCGGAGGAGGTAAAATCTATCAGGGCCATCTTTCAGATAAGAATAAGCAGCTTGAAAACCTTATTGAAAACCAAACACAATTCAGTGTATCTTAACCCTGATGTTCAATTCACACAAAGCAATGTAATAACTTGATCATTGTCTGTTAATTAACAATCTATTGAAATCCTGGTTAATCATAAGACTTTCTCTATTCATTAAATTTATACCACGTCTACCGCCACCACTTAAGGTAAGATTTATCTATCACCCCAAGGATATAGCAGATGCAATGTAACGCATGAACAGAAACAACATTTTGACGCCACGGGAACACTAATATATTACGTCACAATCACTTCTTGACATAATGTATCAGTTGAATGAGACCATCTATAACTAGATTGGTATTCAAACGATATATTTTGATCTAAAAGAAATGTGAGTGATTGATAATGCACAGTTTCCTTCAGGACTTTTGAACATGCCGCTCAAAACACTAACAGGTATATAACTAAATACAACAGCTCTGGATTTGTTGGAAATGCAGTGTGAAATTATAATCTTTAAGTTTTTCGCTGTATAATTAAAACACTCCATGCCAAACTTAAGGAGTAAACTTTTGAGAAGAAGTTTCTTTTAAAAGACATGCGTCTGGCGCTATAAATATGTTGCCGTAAACTGTTGTTGACCGAATTTTGTGAAAACCACGACGATTTTTTTTTTTGCTCGGATGCATGATTTTCCAGAACACTGTAAGCATTCCGAACTTGAAATAAGATATTTCTGAAAACAATTTCCCGAAGGTGAAATCAATGACACAACTGGCTTTTCTTTAAGTTAGATAAACATATTGACCAATTTTCAGTTTACACTGTACACTCCCTAACCATTAGAAGGTCTCGGGTACATACATAGAACACATTCACAACTTAAGTGTGGAGCTACATACAATGTCTGACGTTCTGCGAAAACTTTACCTCCTAACAACCGTGATAATTTATTGTGGTATGTTGTCTATCTGTTTTGTTTCTTTTATTCGCTTTCTACACGTGTTTCAGTTGAAACGGAGACGTCGCGGAGTTTGTATGTCTCTTATAGAGGCATCCACTACGGTCAAATTCTATACTACTTGCCTCTTGTCTGAATGTTGTGAACAACTCTATTAACTGTGTAGATATCTTATTGTGAATTTATTGTACGTTTTCAGCTGAAATGTTAAATCAGAGATCGGTAGCCACTTACATTCTACCTGGTAATTCAAAAAAACCCGAATTATGGTTATGTTCTTGTGTGTTGATGCTGATACTATAATGGTATATATCTTTTCTAATCTATTTGAATATTTATCAGTTATTGACTGGTGCCAAAATTTATGTGAACTAAATAGAGTTATATCAACCGAGGACGTAGTCATCTTGGTATCATTTTGATATAGTGTACATATATAGCGTCGTTTATGATATGCTCCAATTTTCTATTTTCCCCATTACTGGCTGTATTCTGTGAGAATCTCTGTGACGTCTCATTTGTCAGGTATTGTAGAGAAACAACCCCTCTCCTGTTTACTGATTTAAAGTCATTTAAATCATTTAAGGTCGGTCAATTAGAATGCTCATTTCAATAACTACACGCAAATAGTCAAACGTCTCCAAATCAGGTGAATGGGTCTGCCCTACGCATGGAAATAAAGGGTTTTCAAAATCTACTAGACAACCATTCATCACTTACTAAGTGGAATCAGTACACCATCAAAGTCTTTCCCTGCCTAATTTAATTTATGAAGACAAGTCACGTTCATGTCCCAGTTGCTCAAAGATTGGTTCCCTCAAACCAGTGGCAAGTGAAAAAAACAAATGTTGCCAATAAGAGGCAAGGCTTTTCAAAGCAAAATGAATCCTTAAAATCAATCATATTTGTCTCTACCAATCTATAGCAGTGAAATGATGTCCGATGTTCTTGATTTTGTTTTATAACTTTTTTTGAATTTTCCCTTACCACTGATTAACTCGAACGAACCTTTGAGCAACAGGGGCTGATATCAGTAATACAGTTCCTCCATTCTCTTCATAGGAAATGGGCTTTTTATTTCACAAGAACTACTCTTTGTTCGCAATATCATTAGTATTACGTTACAGTCTCTCTTCATATAAACTTGTTCAGCAGGTGAAAATGTGCCTGACCATAATAGCATTTAATGTCTGTTTAAACTATGTTTTTAAGTATCCACAACGCAAAAGAAAAACGATAAGAGATATGAGTTTCTTTCAGATTTTACATGATTCCGATAGTATATATTAGGCGTTTGTTTCATGTCAAACTTTAAAAACATTGTAAACAGATGAAGTACTTGTGTTTCCCTAATTGTTCCCTGCTGCCTTATTTGGTGTTTCCAAGGTGGTCTCATGCATGCGTTTAATGTTCTCATATGCCTTACCTTGTTCTAATCCTTTCGTCTGTAAGCAATTTCGCTATGCTTTCCAAACTCTTTCACTATTCGAACTATTTTCTTTCTTGATCATGTTAATGTATGTGGAAACGTTTTATGTAATTTGTTCACCATTAAAGTGACCATCCTTAATTATTATTTTGCATTGCATCGACTACGTCATAAAATCAATTATTACGTCATGCTTATTCTCAATAAGATTTAAAAAAACTTTTTGAAACATCTCCTGTCTGCCTCCACGCACTTTGAAAGATTTGGACGATGTTTGGCATAGAATGTTTTATGTTGTTGTTTTTAATTTCTGTATTATCAATCTTATTACAGGTTGCATTTGTTTTAATCACGATAAATAATTTAATAAATGACAGTTTCATACAGTTTTAATACTAAACAAATAGGTCTGATCGCTTTATGTATATACCTCAGTTACAACTTAAACATGTTTCATAAATGTGTAAAAACGTACTTTGCGGTAGATTGAACAAGTAATTTGAGCAATCCCATTTCTTTGACGGAGATTATACTACACAAACTCAGCACAAGGCCCTTAACACATATTTAAAGAAAAGGACGTATTTTTTTTATAATATAAATTACTTAAATGTGATATAGAACGCTATGCTGAAACTAGTGTTAAATGTTTCACAGAAACATTAGGTATATGATTTCAGGAAGTTCTTCGCCTTGTGAGTATGACCTTGTGACTGGACCCTACGGTGTGCCCGACCATGCTCTCACAGCGTCGTCTACTCATGACCACTGTCCTATACAAACAGCTAGAATCAACAGTTCTAATGGCTGGTGTCCTGCTTACGTAGGAGACGGTAACTACTTACAGGTAATAAAGGACGGCCCTTATAGGTAACAATGGACGTAAATTACAGGTAACACCGGATAATACTTACAGGTAACACTATACGTTACGTACAGGTAAAACTGGATGTTACGTACAGGTGATACTAGACGTTATTTACAGGTGACGCTGGACATTACTTAGGTAATATTGAACGTAAATTACAGGTAACACCGGGCGTTACGTACAGGTAACATAGGACGGTCCTTACAGGTAACACTGGACGTTACTTACAGATAACATAGGACGTAAATTACAAATAACACTGGACGTTACTTACAGGTTATACGAGATGTTACTTACAGGTAACACTGGATGTTATTTACAGGTAACAATGGACGATACCTACAGGTAACACTGGATGTTACGTAAAGGTAATACTGGATTTAGCATACAGGTAATACTGGACGTTACTTGCAGGTTATACTGGACGTTACTTTCAGGTAACAGTGGACGTTACGTACAGGTAACACTAGACGTTACATACAGATAACACTGGACGTTACTTACAGCTGATACTGGATTTTACTTACAGGAAATACCGGACGTTACATACAGGTAACACTAGACGTTATTTACAGGTAACACTGGACATTACTTACAGGTGATACTAGATTTAACTTACAGGTAACACTGGACGTTATTTACAGGTAACACTGGACGTTACTAACAGGTAACACTTGACGTTTCTTACGGGTAATACTGGACGTAACTTATAGGTAACCCTGGAGGTTACTTACATGTAATACTGGACGTTACATACAGGTAATACTGAACACTATTTACAGGTAACGTCGGTCACTACATACAGGTAACATAGGACGTTATTGACAGGTACTATTAGACGTTACGTCCAGGTATTTTTTTCTTCTTTTTTATATTAATTCCAGACATATCATACACATGAGGAACCGTCTGAGGATGGAATACGTCAGCTTCGGTCCTTTACATTAATACTCTCTTAATTAAGCATACATATTCAAGATTTATCATAATTATTATTCTGTGCAACTCTGTTCTGCAAGAAGGATTTGAATAAAAATATGTATCTAACCTTCGCACATAAAAAAACCTTTTTGTTATTGTAAATAACCAGTTTATGATTAACTTAGAATTTGGTTCACAAATACAAC